GATGTAATGACGATTACATTCAAGACAAGACTAGACACTGAGGCTAAATTTCTACTAGCTGTCATGTATCAAAGTTTTTCAGTGTGGCATTGAATAGGGGTTGTGTTCTGACAGTATTCTAACTCTTTTACATGAAATGGTTAAAAGAGAATTTCTGCACATTGCTGTTTGTTTTGACTCTTATGCCTGATTGTAGATTAGGCTTTGGGCTGTCTGCCTTTAAATATCAGAAGAAGCTAGTTCTTTTTACACAGACAGAAGACAGAAAGTCTCCTACTAATGCTGGTCAACTGGTAGTGGCATATCTTGACTTGTTGGTATTCTCTTCATACTATTTTGTTCTAGCATACAAAATTTAAAGCAAAACTTGTCTTCTTAAGAACCAGTACTGTTCAATTAATTAGCTATGTTGTCAATTTATGTTTGTTATACCAGGCTTTGTTAATGTATCAGTTGTATTGCTAAGCGTTCATAGATCAAGCTCTTCATTTTGATTTTCTGTGTAGCAAATGTAACTGGTGCTGAGAACTGAGACTGAAATTCAAAGTATTCAACAGTCTGGAAATTCCAGAAGTTACAATTGTTGTGACATTTTACAACAACTATTTTTTAAAAAATGTTTGTATTTATTTAATTGTTATGTTTATACTCACTGCTGAGTGAAAATGGTGGAGGCTGGGCTACTGGGGTGAGGGGAGTAATTTTTGCTGGAAAATAGAGCACCCCAGCAAAAAGTAAGCCCACTATTAGGGCCCACAGAGATTTTGCCCTGCTGAAAGTCTGTTGGTAATACATAGAAAAAGGTTCTGTTGAGAATAGTGAAAAATGAACCAGTTCACTCTTTTTCACACGAAACCACCTTTGGTATGGTCCCTGAAGGACAGGCTGCGTTCTGTGATTAAAGTCATGTAGCTAATTGCACACAGTAATGTGTTCTGTGCCTCAGGAGTATAGAAAGCCTGACTGTAGTTGTCATTAATGTTCATTTTGATCTATGATGTGTGCAAACAGGTTTCATTCAGAGTTTTCTTAAATATTTTATAAAACATTCGTATAAAGGTGTGTTGGATTCTTACGTGCAAGGGAACAAATTTTCTTAATGTGTCTAAATGAAACCTCTAAAGTCAGATGCTTTCTGGGACAAATTATGGAGCTGTAAATTCCTTCTTCTAAATTGCTTCTGCTGCAGCTATTGTTTAAGTGCAAAAATATTTGAAATGTATTGTGAAACAGTTAGTTTAGACAGTGTCCACAAAAATTCTGTGAAAGCATTGTTGAAATGGTATACTGAAGAAATTAAAAGATAAAGCAAGTACCAAAAGATACTAATACTTCCATTGTTTCTGGGTTTACTTATTCTTACTTCATACATTTTTAAAGATACCTATCTTAGTTTTAAGTTCTTATTTTTGCTTTGACTACATAAACAGTCAATGTAGAAATAATACATCTGATACAATTTTGTGCATAATATTATTTTAATTTCTTCTAAGTATACATTAGACATTATGACATGTGAACCTGAATAAGGTAAATGGTTCATGAGGTATTGCTGTGTATGTATTTCTAGATTTAAAAAGAATCTTGTCATTTTATTGTCCTCAGTGTGTAATAATTGCATTTGAGTTTTGTATTGTAATTTGTGCCACTACTCTGTGGCATAATTTAGTGTTGTAATGCATTATATCAGAGAGAATTTGCACGGTCTGACCAAAAGGTTGTTTCCAGATGAGAAATGAAAATAGACACTAAGACAGTTCAGTAACAATACTGATTCTCTCCGCTAGGAAATTTTTCTGTTCCTAACATCAGATGTCAATAATAAGTACAGCTGTTTTGTTGTTAAAAAGGGATTAAAAGCAGTTTTAGGTCAAGACAGTGTTCACCATCATTTCTGGAACCACAATTATTATACAAATAACTTGCAGCCAATCTATAAAAAGACAAAAATATCTTCCATATGATGAAAGCCACCATCAGTGCCTGTTTTAAAAGTATTTTGGAGCACTGAATTAGTAACAATTAGCTGAATATCTACAATGTGCTTAAAAAAATATTGCACAAGAATTGACAAACTGCCTTTTTTTTAACATCATTAGGATTTTCTCATATGGAACTCTTCATTGACCATTGATAACTTCACATACAAAAATAAATCTTTCACTACTGCTATTGTCTCCCTTTAGGATAATTCCTAAAACACCAATTTTATTGATACGGATATAATTTTCCAGCAAATTACAATATAAATGTTTACACTGAAATTTTAAAGCTTAATCTGTTGTTTATAGAATATGTGGCTAGGGGAAAGAATTTTAATTGTGTAGCCTGGTCCCCTTGTAAGATAAAAACTCCATGAACTCACTTGAATTGGAGTAAATAATTTCAAAAATATCTGTTCCCTTGCATGGAGAGGTTAAAGTAATGGTAACTCAGTTAAATAAATTTAAAATGTAATTCTTTTTTTTTTTTCTTAAATCAGCATACCAGGTTTTAAATAGGAATTTACCTTTTAAAAATGCATTTCAAGTTGGAAAGCTTAAAGTTTCTTTTCGGATTTGTAGTGGCTTTATTTTGCTTCTTGGATTTTAGACTTAAGATTGGACAGAACTTCAAAAAAATATGTTATACTCTGGTAGAAATGCAATGCCATGTAGGCTGTTTGCATGTCTCCATTAGCCCCTTGAATGAGTGTCTTTCACAGTAGTGAGCTTTGGACATAGAGTAACCATGAAGATTCTTTAGGAGAGATCTGCTTGTACTAGTGAAGTTACCAAAAAATGCATCTTTTCAAGGCTTTAAGCCTTGATGCAAATGGTTTTTTCTTTTAAGTACTGTCAGAGTCCCTTCTAGTGGTTTGGTGCCTTGAAAGCAAATCTCAGTAAGTAGAAGTCCTGGAAGATGAAATTTAAGTGCCATGTCTCAGAATGAAGGCACTATGGAAAAACAAACGTACCCTTGTTTAGTCTGAACTTTGCCTTGATTTTTTTCTAAACATTCTTAGAGGCACTTTGCTTCCTACTTTCCTTTCTGCTGTCTTCTTAGTCTCAGAAGATAACTATCCCATAATAGTGAGAAAAAAAAATTGTTTCTGTAAACTGCTACTTGTTTTGGATCACGATAACAGGGACTTGAGTGAAGCCAGCAACATCAGCAACTTAGTTTTTAAACAGTTGCTAGAAACTACTAACAAATATTTTCATGCTAATTTTTCTGTAATTCATCTTAAAACAGGATATGTGTGTGTGACTCTTAAAAAACTATATTCATATTTGGTATGCATTCTTAACAGTTTCTACTGTGCTTTACTCAGAATCCAGTGTTTGAGGCTTTTGAGGCTTTTTTAAGGATTTTGTTTACTTATTTAAGAAAAAGTGAAAACAAATAATTGTGTACACACCTGAAATATCTCCTGAATTATAAGCTAGCAGAAAGCTTTTATTTTAAAAACTTAAACAGTGCTTAAGGCCGCTTAACTTGCTGAGTGTAGATAGCTGTGTTTTGGCAGCACAAGGTGAAGCTGGATGTGGAGGAAACTGATTTAGCTTGACTTTTCTGCATTTCTTTACCCAAAAGAGTGGTATGACTGTCCTGCAGGCAAGATTTTTTGGAGGTGACATTTTTTTCTCTTTTTGTATTTATTTGCATATGGACTTGGAATGTTCAGCATGTGCATTAGATTGTTAAGGAACACATTTTCTAAAACTGAATGTATTTCACATTGAGAAAGAGAAGAGGGCACTCGAGTAACTTGACAAGATCTGCTTTTTCAAACATCCAAGGCTGTCCTCAGTCAAAGAGTAGATCTGTGAGCTTCTCAGAGGAACCTCCTGGGAACTCCTTGCTGAGAAGCCTGTGTGGGAGGTTCATATCAAGTCTCCTTGACAATGTTAGGATTTACTGAAGGTGTTAGGATCTCTTGTATATTTTGAATGTTTGTTCACATGCACTATTTTGAATTTCAGTTGCATTTTGCATAGTTCCAAAGTTGAGAGATTAAGTAACATCACTGGGAAACTTGTTACAGTGTTTCACCACTCTTGCTGTGATAAAAACTTTTCTAATATCCTAGAAATAGTTATTTGTATCTTTTTCTGGTTTCTGTTTCAAAGTAGTCTAGCATAATTACAGGCATAACCATATAAAGATATCTTGTTTGAAATGTAAGCCAAAAGTTTTTTATTTGAAAATAGTACTTCTTAGAGTGCCTGTTTATTTTTAAGTGTAAATTTATGCCTTTAAAACATGCACAATCTTTTAGGTTTATATGAAATGGAGCCTGCAGTATCGATCTCTAATTTGAAACTGAAGATAGATCTTTCTTGTATTGTGTATCACATGGTTAAGGGTTTTTTAGAAGGTGGGGGTTTTTTAATAATTAACTTGGAAGATTTACAATTTCCTATTTAAGTACATTGTCATTCTTCTATCCATTATAAAATTCTAGTAAAATAAGCGTAGTCTTTTTTGTGAGCACTTTCTTGAAAAGGTTTGTTTTTCTCTTCTCCAAAGACTTCAGCTTTTGTAGCTTTCAATCTTCAAGAGCATTTTCCCATATTCTGAGGTTTATTTAAGTTACTGTTTGGAATGTTTCATTATTTGATTTATTGAGAAAAGTGGGATTTACAGATTAATTTGATTTTATAGGATAATGTATGATTTACAGCATTTATTCAAGATTGGTAGGATCACTTCTGGTAGAAGAACATGGTTTCTGTAAATCTGTGGAAAAAGCATGGGAGGTTTGCAGAATCCCTTAACCTCCTGAACTTTCCCATGTCATCCTATGAACTCCGAATCTATGGGACTGTTCAAATCAGGAAATGTTTAAAAATTAAAAGCCAAAATGCTAAGCTGCTAGATTTTGTATACAAAACATCTGTGGGTCTTGCAGTTTAACAATCATGTTAATCGTGGTAACATAAGCAGACTATAGTTAGCGCTCGTCATTTATATGAAGTAGTATATGATTTCAGTAGTTTGTATTTTTGTTATTTCAGCTTTATGACAAAATAAACACAAAATCTTCACCACAAATCAGGAATCCTCCAAGTGATGCTGTACAGAGAGCCAAAGAGGTAAGTGCTTTACAATATATTTTTTACTTCGAAAGCTTGTATTTAAAGTGAAATATTGTATTCTTTATTAAGATACCAATATGTATTCTGGCTCATAATCTGAATTATTTCTGGAATTCTACCACTGCTTACTTAAGTTACATAACAAGTTGCATCAACTTGCAGAATTCCATTATGTCTGTGAGGATTTTATATATATATAAAAGTTTCATTATTTAACCTTTGCTGCAACAATAGGAGTATTAAAAGGAATACTTCTGTTGGGTAAACACAATATCTTTCATGCTCAGTTTATTTACCTGCAGCAGAAATTTCATGTGACTTATGTCAGGAAAAAAATATATTGCTAGGTATCAGGTTTTTAAATTGAAAAAAATTATCACAGGTAGCTGTAAGAAGAGCAGACCTAGAAATGCAATGAAGGTGGCTTGTTAATACCAAAGATAAATAGATACAGATGTTCTTAATTTTTATACCTGACAAATAGTATTTTATTTTGCAAGTAGTAAAAAAAAAAAGTATTATATCTTATCAGTAAAACTAAATACAGGTAATGCCATAGGAAAACAGTGTTTGTAGTCCTATTAAAATAGAATGAACAGGAAGACTTTAAAATGCTATGTAATAACTGAAGTCACATAGATCGAAACTCTAAAGTCCTGTTTTGCAAAATTTTCTGGCAATTAATCCTGGGAGGTGCTTCCAGAAACAAAATAGTCTGCTTTAATTGTCCAGTTAGTTGTGGAAATAAAGGTGCAAGTATCAGATTGCAGGCAAATAAGTTAAAGCCTTTTTACTCATTCCTCCTTCCCCTAGTGAGAGGCTGAAGTATGGCTCAGATTTTATAAAATCTGTAGCTTGGAGGTGGGTAGCAGATAGACTACCTACACTTCATTTCTTTCACAACTTAATTTGTGGAGAGAAAGTTTTTTGAGTATTTTTAATTCTGCTCTTAAACCAGTTGTTCTAATAAATTGAGAAAGCAGCAGTTGGTGGTACTGAAGTGTGTCATTTATTAGCACTTCATTTCTGGCTCCATGTATTTAGCTGTTGGAGGAATACCATCAACTGAAAATGAGTAACTGTTTCCTTCATATTTATGCTTTAATCTCTCTCAGAAGTAAAACTGAAATGAGGTATTTTATTCTCTTGCAGGGGGGCACATTCTCCTAAATCCTCTCCTGTCAAAAATATTATTTTGTATGATCATTTGGCGGTATTCTGACTGACCACTGAGGGAGGGTTTTCATTTATTTGTTTAATAGCTCTATTTAAAAGAAAGTTACTATGAGCATTTCTCCTGTATATTTTGCAGGTATTGGAAGAAATTTCATGTTACCCAGAGAACAATGATGCAAAGGAGCTAAAGCGTATTTTAACACAACCTCATTTCATGGTAAGCAAATGCTACTCTTTGTTTGTTGTTTGGTTTTTTTTTTTCCAATATTCTTTATATTAGAAAACTTAAGTTCAATAAGTTCTCCCTAAAATCTGCAAGTGATGAAACTGCATACAATACAATACACCTATTAATAAGTATTATCTGCTGGTCTGGCAAAATAGTTGCTATTACTGCTGCTGTTGGTCCCTATAACTGTGCTGAAAACTGTCAGCAATTTGGAGAAATCCAATTATGGAGCAGTTTTACTGGTTTTGGCGGAGCACTGTTGCACACAGAAGGATGAATCCCTTTGGATGTCCATAAGTAGACCTGGGATCCTCCTTTTCCTTTTTTCCCAAGGTCTTTTTAAAATAAAGTTGTGTCAATTCATTGCAAAATAAGTGTTTATGCAACATTATTTTACAATAAATCAGTAGCTTGTACAGTCCAGTGAAATTGTTATATATCAGCTCCTACTGTGTGTATTACACAAACTGATTTGTGAGCAATGATTGTCCTAAGTTCAGGGATGTGACTGCTTAGTAACTTGTTTCAAGTTACTGAAGTCCAGTCTTTTGAAACTACTTAAAGGATTTCTTTCATTTATACTGTGGATGAAGTTCCCAAGTTCAGAAGTGAAGTGTTTGCTTAAATCTGCTATACACTATTGACAGTTTAAAATCATGAATTTGACTTTCCCTAACACAAGAATTATATGCAGGGGGCTTTGTGGAATTTGCTCACCTGAAAGCTGAATTACTGTAAGTCTGAAGGATAAACGTAATTTCCAGGCAAGAGTGAGCTGAACCTGCTCACCAACCTCATATTCAGGTATAAGATGAAATCTGGATAGCTGCATGTCCCAGTGTGTTCTTTTGATGGCCACTGTAGCTTTGGGTACATTTATTTTAGTACTTTAAATCAGATCAGGAGTGTGTGTTTTTAAGTGAATCTCCTGATTGTCCCCTTACAGTGCTTTGGCTTGTATCACATAAGGGTCTCAGAGCATGCAAACTAGATTCCTTTCAGATAAAGTTATACTCAAAGATGTATTCCAGAAGCCAGTGTAATCCAGCAGCTGACAGTCATTCAGTCCACAGGAGAAGATGGAAGCTATTCAGAAGTGAAAAATCCTGCAATGCTTTCAGTGTGTACGTCAGGTTCTCACTAACCTGTTAATTCATTCCTTTTTCATTGTACTAATCACTAATGCAGGTGGTGGCTTGTGCTCAGCAGCACCCTGACCAGTCATTGCCTGGAGATGATACCTGTCCTGTAGTATGTAACAAATCTGGTTCGCCATTTAACAGGAGTATTTGATCGAAACGGAACATAAAATGAAGTGGAATAGTACTCAGTCATATTGTAGGAAAGATTAAATAAAACAAGGAAAAAAACCCTCAAGAACAGCGCTCTGTACTGGTACTCAACTTCTTTATTTGTAGTCTGACAGGTTCATTTGATTTATCTTTTTTTACGTAATTACCACACAGTATTGCAAAAACTTTAGGCACTGTGGAGAAAGAGCATTTTTTAAGTGTAAATTATTTTCTGAGTAGGCATCAATAAAAATGATCATGGCATTTAAAAATTTCATTAATCAAATCAAGTGACAGGAAAAGTGAGTGGGAGATCACCTTTTATAGGTAACTCTATTTCCACATGATATCCTTATAAATTTAAAACCATCTGTTAGAATTCTTCCAGTGTAATCCTGTAAAAAGTATTTTTTAATAAGAAATAAGCTGGAGTTCCATAACAAGTACTTTTGATGAGGCACAATTTCATTAAGTTAGTCTGTGGCATCCCAAGACAGATTGCTAGCTGATGGTGTCCTATCCCTTCTCTCCATGTTTCATTCTCTGCCTTGCAGTTGCTCCATCATTTATCTGACACTGAACTTTGGTATTGTGCTGTGCTAAACTAGTTGAAAACTACTCCCACAAAACAATGATCCATGTGGTAAAAAGAATGAGGGTCAACTGGAATACTGCCAGAGGCAGAACGAGCAAGGGAACAGAAACACACAGTTTGGGTTAGTGAGGAATGGCACAAACATGCAAAGCAGCAGTTAAATCAACATATGTTGCTGTGGAACCATACCTTTAGGGTGCAGATACTAGAGAGTCCCCAGATGTCAGAGTCAATCCCATCCTATCCCTTCATTCTCACTCCTAGATACACCTTTTATAAGGTTATAGGCCTTGCAAAATTATTCTTATGTTTGTGACATTCTGCCAAACTTTCCTTCAGAGCCAAAGCCCTTAACATAGTTCCTATTGGGAAATGAAATAATTGTATGAAACAATACTGTCAGCCTACACTCCATATGTCTTCCAAGCATGGTATAGAACAATACTCTAGTTAGTAAGTTGCTGCACCCTGATGCACAGAGGCTGAAGCAATAAGGTGTAGTAAGTAGGATTATACATACAGGTGTGTTACCACTGGTGTGATCACAGTATTCTACTATTACTTATATTGTTGTCTAACGTGTACTCGTAATTGGAAGACAATGGAGTATAGTCTGTCTCATTTACTTAAACACCGTGTTTGTGGTTGACTATGCAGAGGCCTTTATGGGACCAAAGCTAATAAAGTATACGTTTGCAAGTACTTTTATCAGCACTGAGATCTTCAAAGTTTTGTGTTGGTTTACCTTGTGTGCCTTGTGGGTACAGAAATAAATTATTAATTTAAGCTGTACATGCTTAACATTTTCATTTAAAGAAATGTATGCAAATTTTGCATAAAGGTCTTTCAGCAGATAATTAGCTTAAGAATTCCTTAAAAGATTATCAAACACTTCATTCATGTACATATTTCAAGAAGTTATTGTTCTGTTAAATCTGAGTAGTTTTTCAAATGTGCCATTTTTAACTGTAAACAGTTCTATTATATATGTTTAATATGTGGCAGCAATTGAAATGTTTGCTAGAATAATTTTACTTGATTATATATTGAATTTTTATCCATCATTATATGCCTTCCTATGCTGTTCTTTGCAGATAATGATCCCACCATACAGTAGAAAGCAGTTGGTCTCACTAAACTTATTTTCAGCAGAATTATCAAGAAAGCAAAAAAACGGGAAAAAATCAGAAGTATAAAAATTAACAGAAATGCATGAAAACAGGCATCTTTAAGTCCAACAGCAGTCTTTATACTAAGTGTTTTCAGTATGTAAATTGAGTTTGCTGTACTTTAATATTTGCTGTTTCTGAGTTTGTGTTAATTCTTGTTTAACACATTCAGAGGTCATCTAGCATAATTGTGAACCTGTAAAAATGTTCAAATGATTTTATTTCAAACTCCTAGGAGGAGTATATTATTGCTGAAAATATAGTATAAAGCAAGGCACTTACTTGGTATGAAACAAATGTAAGTCCTTGAATTACATAGGAAATGTAATATTAAAACATGGAAAGTATAATAGACACAGGGAGGTATGTGAAGTTGAGTAAGTAGCCTTTGAGTAGATTGAGCTGAAGGAAGCACAGAGGAGCACCCTACTCTGTTGTAGAGTGCTTGCACCCAAAGCCAAGACCACGCTCACTTTTAGACAAGGTGGGTTTTTAACAGCCAGAGCTAAGGCACTGGGGCACCTGGGACAACTGCACAGTTTTCAGATACCAGAATGATAATTAAACTAACTCCATAAACCTATATAGGGGTATTCACACATATGTTTACGCCCAATTAAATAAATCAGTTTAAGAATTTATGTAATTAAAGTGCTTTAACTTATATATATGGTCCAGTCCAAATCTCAGATATAAAATGTTGCTTCAGCAGTACAGAGTAATGCAGAGGAATTGTTGCAAGTTGGAGCTTAGTGACTGACAAAATAAGATGAAAACCAGAAAATATGGGATATCATAAAACAGAGATATGGGTTAGTATTTAAAAATAGTATTTGTGTATGTGGACTCAAAAGACTGGAAAAACAGGAGGGAATGTGGGCAGACATTCCAGCAGAAATTGCTAGTTTAGGGAATTCCAGTCCATCGTTATAGTGTTGAATTCCCACTATAGGTTGAAACCTGTTTGAGGAAAGGGAAGTTAAACTGTTTATGAATTATCTTTTATAACATGGCACGCTTTAGGAGTGCTACCTTGGGAACAAATTTAGGATTTTATAGAGACCATAAAAATCCCATTTCTGCCTTGGATTCCACTTCAGAAATACATCTTTTAGGAATGGGTTTTTATAAATTTTTTTTCATTTTAAGTTTTACTTAAATATTTTAATTGAAGACTAAGGAATTGCAGAGTCAGATTTCTCTGCCAAAATGAATTCTAGATGGTCCATCTCAAGCCTTGCAAGATCGTTGAGGTTTGCAAGTTAAGAGCTATGGGTATTAAATGAAAATTAACAAGATACTGACCATAATACAGATTGACCTAACTACCAGTGGTTTGCAGTATCTCTACTATTGTAGAGATATTGCAGAACCAGGCTTGATTTATCAATCCTCATCTGAGAAACCCATCCATTTGGGTATAGAGGCAGGATCTCCCTGTCTGCTCCTCTCTCATGAGACCCCGCCTGCAGTACTGTGTCCGGCTCTGGAGCTCCCAACACAAGAATGATATGGATCTATTGGAGCAAGTCCAGAGGACAGCTATTAAGATGATTAGTGGGCTGGAACACCTCTTCTACTAAGACAGACTGAGAAAGTTAGGGTTGTTCAGCCTGGAGAAGACAAGGCTACAGGGAGACCTTATAGTGCCTTTTTTAATATCTGAAAGGGGCCTACAATAAATCTAGGGAGGGACTACTACAACAGCTTGTGGTGATAGGATGATGGGTGATGGGTTCAGCCTGGAAAATTATATATATAGGTTAGATGTAAGGAAGAAATTCTTCACTATGAGGGTGGTGAAATGCTGGAACAGCTTGCACAAGGAAGTTGTGGATGGTCCATCATTGGATTTGTCCAAGACCAGGCTGGATGGGGCTTTGAGCAACCTGGTCTAGTGGGAGGTGTCCCTGCCCATGGCAGGGCATTAGGAACCAAATGCTTTTTAAGGTCCCTTCCAACTCAAAACGTTCTTTGATTCTATGATCTATCTCTGGTTCTTGATGAGTTAGTATAGGAGTTGAACTAGCGTGTTCACATATAAATTTTATTTCATTTTTGGACAGAAGCAAGCTGGCTACAATATACTCATTATAAAGGGCTGAATGCAAATGTGAAAGGGATGTGATATGGAGCTCTTAAAGATTTCCTGGAGAACAGTGGAATGTCATACCATGAAAAAGCCTAGTACTGTTGGATAAATGTTTACACTTTGTCCAACTCTTAATCCTATGTTACACTTTTTACAGTCATACAGGCCTTCATGTCTTTGGCCTAGTTTAGAGATCTTACACAGTTCTTCTCATCAAAAACATTTAAATACATTTAATCAATTGTGTTGTACCATCTTTGCTTAAAAAAAGACAGGATAAAACTAATGAAGTAGCATTTGAGCAGTTTGTTGGTTTAGATTGCAATTTTTGTCAGGCATTTTGAACTAAGTGTAATTGTGCTGGGTTTGTGCTCTGGAGGGAGGGGAGAATATGGAATTGATTGTGCTAGTAAACAATAAAAACCAGTATTGTGTTATTGCAGTTAACACCAATCCACAGTCTGTCTTTATCAGAATGAAATACCACATGGACAGGATCTGAGTACCTGTCCATTTTACTAGGATAATTATTATAGAATAGTTTGCTCAGAAAGGTAGCTTCCTAATTCTGTGTCTGGGCACATAAGTAAAGATGGCTTAATTCTGACACCTTGCAGGTGTCAAAAAGAAGGGGGAGAAGGAAGCAGCATCATTCTTATTGAGGTATCTACAGTAGAAAATGTGTTTTCCTCATGGAGATTTAAAGGCTATGTATGTGTGTATGTATTTGCAGTCTGCTGAAGTTTATCTTGGACTCCTTTAAGGTAAAAGTTCCTATACAAAAAATTAGGATCAAATATCTTGGATTTCCTTTAATTTTTGAAAAGCTTGAAAAATACTTATAAGTAATGAATGGGTGGTATCAGAGATGATGGAGGTCTGATATTTTCTTGCTGTAATCTCCTCTAGGCCTTACTTCAAACTCATGATGTAGTGGCACATGAAGTTTACAGTGATGAAGCTCTGAGAGTTACACCTCCTCCCACGTCTCCATACTTAAACGGAGACTCTCCAGAAAGCGCCAACGGTGACATGGATATGGAGAATGTGACACGAGTTCGACTGGTACAGTTCCAGAAGAACACAGATGAACCAATGGTATGGAAGGAATCTCCATATTTTTCTAGACTCTCTACTGGTAAAGACCAGTATTATGATGATTGTAATGACAGTTTCTACACCTTGAAATAATGTTGAGCAGCGATTGTAGATACTTATCCTCCTCTGTATACCCTTAGCTTAAAATGCTATCTGCAGTCATACTCCTGCTGTGCCACTAGAGATGGTTTTGTTTAAAAACAGCCTTGGAGCAGTAATAGGAAGGTCACTCTTTAAACCAAACTGGGCACTATATACTTCAATACTAAAGTGCATTTTTAACAAAACAGAATCTTATATGCTTATTTATTAAAGTATTGCGTCTTCACTTATAAATAGTATCTGTTATTGCTTGTACTTAAGTGAGTCGCAAAGTTTTTGTTTTCACCTTAAAATGTGTAACCTGCCTTCAGGCTTTTGGGAAAAATGACTGTTCTTTAACCGCTCAAGAATCACACTGCTTAATGTTTTATTTTAAAAGTAGAAACTTTTCTGTTTCTAGGGAATCACTTTAAAAATGAATGAACTGAACCATTGCATTGTGGCAAGAATTATGCACGGAGGAATGATTCACCGGCAAGGTAATCATGTATCATGAGTGGTTCTGTCTTCAAACAGTTAGGTAGATAATTTTTTAAACCTCAGTTTGGTTGCTGCTATTTCATAGTAGTGTGCCTCTGTGTCTGGATGGAGTCCTGTTAACTGCCTTTGTTACCTTCCTCTTGCAGACTTCTGCAACAAGTATTGTTCCACATGACTGTGTTCCATAATGGGTGTAATAAACTTTAAAAACCTGTTAAAACTGGGTAAAAAAGTCCAACTAAGCTCATTAAAACTCTGTTATTTTCTTTTTATTTATACAGTTTCTTTTATTTCTAAAGATTCAGGAAATTTAACCTATTCTGTATGTGCCTCAGGTTTATATGTCATAGGTCTTGGCTTTCATCTTTGTGTCTGTGCCTTAACTTAGCTCAGTTGTCCATTCACTTTTTACCTGTGGATTCTGTTCAGGCTACTCATACAATAAATGTTATTTTCAGGGGTTATGCATATAGCCTGTGTTCTCAGCAGCTCTCAATATCTTGACCCATTGTTCTGCCAATGACTAGGCCCAACAAGAATGACATAACCAGCAGTAAGAGAAACCAATACATAGACTGTATTGTAAGCAAAAACGTCATGACATGAATGACCGTCGGGGGTACAAACAGGTCAACCAGCTCGTACATAATTGACGTCATCCCCACCGCTCCCACAAAACACATGATTCGACCCACAACAGGTGGTATGAACAGAGAACCAAGGTTTCCCATAGCTGGCAAGGGAAACAGCCAGATCACAAAGTTAAACATATACAAGAAAGGTTCCCATATGGCGACTCTCACCTGATCAGCCCGTGTTCACAAAGGTCTAAATGGACCTAGGCCCAGCTCCAGGGAGAGTCAGGAGGTCTGCCCTGAACCAGGAAGCTCTGTGGAGTGCACTCCACAGACAGACACTCCTGACTCCCTGCCAGTGGTCCCAGCTTTTATCCCCAAGCAGACACCTGACCTTTGTCAACTCAGTGCGGGACCCCTGGGGCTCATTTCCCTTATGGCTCTCCCTGCAGGGCCGGCCGCACCCTGGGGGGAAGCTATAAGGCAAACTCACCACCTCTTTATGAAGGGCTGTGGGAATCACCCATATGTCAACCTTAATTCGGGGCTCAAACCCCAGCATTTCACCCAGGGGATTTTTTGCTGCTGACTGCTTTTGGGGCATATGTGTTTAAATGTGAATTCATTCTTAAGCTGCATTTAAGAAGAGGTCCCAATACAGCATTTTAAAAGACTTCCAAAAAAGACAGAGGACTTACTGGCTGCCCATTTAACCTTACCAGAAAAACGGCAGTTGTCCATTGTCTATGCTATGTTCTTGAAATTACTTACCATATAACTCACACTGATTTTTAAAACACTAATACCCCAGTAAGTTTTATTCAGTTCTAACAAAATGTATGTGATGACTGTGTGTGATTTTATGTTCACAGCCTTCCACTTCCCATACTACGGAATTTTATTTTGAATACAAAACCTGTTTCTGAATAGGGACTCCCAAGAATTTGTTCTGTCTTCTTCCTAATAGGGTAGGATTTCTTGTACGTCTGTGCAGAGCAAGAGCACACACTTCCTGAAACTGTCTTCACTATGGCTTGCAAAGACAAGGAAGGAAATCATTTACTCCAGAAATACTTTCATTCTTTGTTATTAGAGATTTGTTTTACATCTATAAGTCATGAATAGCTGAAGTTCTAAGTAAACACTGTGCTGTCATTAGAAAAGGAACCAAAAGCAACTAAAATTGGGTGATTAAGCATAGGTTTTATGGGAGCTACAGATGGTATGAAAGACTCTGTTCAAAGATGTCAAGAATACTCTTTCCTAACAAGAATATTTATAAAGAGTAAAAGGTTCCTGCAAACAATAAAAGCCTTTTCCTTCAGACTGAAAATGTCTTCCTATGGTTTATCAGTGCATACGCCCCTCTAAAAAGAATTACTGTCTACTGCCTAATGTCCATGCTTTATTCCAAATTTTAATGTATGCTGCTCCATTCCAGGCATGAACAGAACAATACTCACTTCTGTCTGAGTAACAGAAATGAGAAATGCTTCAGAAGAGGGGATCTTCTTTAAATGCACTATTGAGATTGTTTGATACCAGGTTATTGAGTCTGATTCTCATTCTAATATTTAATTCCGTCATATTTATATTTTTAATAATGCCAAAGAATATTTATGTTATTCCAAGCATATGCTCTTTCTTATTCAATATTATTGTTTAATAAAAATTACATTCACTTTGAACAGAATTTAATTTTGGCATGACGCAGTCAGGACAGGGCCACTTCCTTTTTTCAAATATATTTTTAAGAATTGGGTATTGACTTCCTGAGAAAGTCTGCCAAAACAACTTTCAAAGTGTTTCACTAGAGATTTGGTCATTAATATTCTAGATGTGAACTAGATTAATTTGAAATTCAGATGCAGGACTGTTACATTCACATTCAATAAACTTTTAATTGTGATAATTTCTCCACCAAAGAGTGGAAGAAGAATTGTGATGAGTCGTGTTTTATAATTTCACTATCAGCAGATCAGCTCCTGTAGAATTCTCTGGAGTATTTAATGTGACTGAAAGACTTACTCTTGAGAGTATTGAAAGATTTTTATAAACTTTGGGCTCTCTTTTGTATCACTGCCAAGTGAGCTTCTATTTCACAGAAGAAAGCCCAAAGAGAATCCTACCAACAGAGCTTTTCAGGATTCTTCTCCTGGATTCAGGCTGTACTTGTGTTTTGCAGCCACCCAGTTTGATTTTCTTAGGTTTGTCCAGCTGAAAGCTTTGCTTGCATGGTATTCTTTGGGAAAAAAAAATTACTATTTCAGGTGAGGAAAAGAATTTTAGGGATTTTTGAGCATTCTAGTTGATTCACTTTTTTCAGGTACTCTTCCATAGATACGTTTTAGTTTAGGAAATGTTTGCCAGTTGCTAGTTTTCCAAGTAAGATTAATTGGTTTTGATTCAGCGGTTATACTAGGTACAGTATTTAGGAAAGGATACTTGCACAAATTATTGAAATTTTACAGCAGAAAGAAATATATGTTATTACATATGAAAAGCATCTTCTGGCTAATAATAAAGCATGGAAGGTTTTTTTGAGAACTGCTAGAGAATTAGGTGGGCTTGAGCCACTCAAGTAAGAAGTTCTCATCCAAAAAGAGCTTCCTATGTTGCTTCTGATTCTAGAGGTAATTAATTCACTTGGTGCCTCCTCCCTTTTGAGCTTTCATAGTGTCTTAGAGCCATGTTGTACAATGCCATTTCCATCCCAGCCTCAGCAGGTCAGTTTATGACTTGCCTAAGCTAAGTTTATATTTGTTTCTTCATGTGACATTGTAGGTAGTCACACCAATCATTTACATTCAGGCTGAAGTCAAGTGTACATACAGAAAACACATACTGTAACTATGCCAAATCAAAATCAGACAAATGAAAAACACTCCACGAAAGACATTTTCATTATCTTTGGTAGCTAACACATAGCTACCAAATTCCTTTTCTGAATCTAGCTCAAAACGTTCTTTTAGCATTGTTTCATATTTATGCCTTTGTATGAGTATTAGTACTGTCTTATAACTGTCTTGATTGTAAAAACATATTTGAGGTGATTGTGTGTTTTGTTAACTCTGCAGGTACGCTACACGTAGGGGATGAAATCCGAGAAATAAATGGAATCAGTGTGGCAAATCAAACTGTAGAACAACTACAAAAAATGCTTGTAAGTGCCTGAAATCTTTCCCATGTTCTTTTATAAAAGTGCCTGTCTTATTTTCACAGAACTTTTCTGTAATTGCATTGTGACTTCTCCTTTTTCTTCTCTTCATGGTAGCCTACATGTGCATGTAACAGAAAGTATTCATGTGTTCAGTTGTTAAAGCCTTCTACAGGCTCTCCCCTGTTTCTGAGTAGTGGCTTTTTTTCAATCAGGAGTGGTAGAAGGTACCTCCAGGTGTCATTTTATTTGTTCCATCTAGTCCCACATAAGAGATACTGACATCCAAACATTCCTGACAGATACATGTCTGACCTGCTCTTAAAAGAACTTGAGTAATAGAGGTTCTCCAAACTCTCCAGGCAGTTGACTTTAGTGTATAACTTTTCTATATTTTTGAAAGTTTTTTTCTAATGTCCGAGTTTCCTTTGTTGAAGTCCAGGAATTTGTCTCTAGTGGACATAACAGAAAAAATATTGCTTTCCTACTATTACTCATCCCAAGTTAGTCTATAAGGGTCATGCCCTTATTTTAAATCTTCAGTCTACACCTAGTGTAGTCACTGAGTGTACTGTGAGAGAAACGTTTCTTGACTATTGATATAATTACTACACAAAGAAACAAAATCATAGAACCATTCTGGTTGGAGGTAACCTAAGGAGGTCTCCAGTTCCATCTCCTGCACAAAGCAGGGTCAACGTTGAGTGCAGACCAGGTTGTTCAGGGCTTTGTCTGGTTAAGCCGTGGAAATATGCCAGGACAGAGATCTTGACAGAACAGGTCCCCCTTTGGACAACCTGTTCCAATACTTAATTACCATAGTGAAAAATGTGTTCCTTATATGTAGCTGGAGCATCCCTTCTTTCAATTTATAATTATTGTGGCTCATGGTTATTGATGTTACAAAGGGAAAAAATGGTATTTTGAACTCAGTCAGTATTGCTTTTGGCAGGAAAACTCCATCCTGGGTCTTGCTAGTAGAGTCAGTATGCTATTCCATAACACTTCTAAATTTTTCTGTGTGCAACCCTAACCATGGGCTCTTGGATGATATCACTACTTCTGTTGCTGTGTCCAGAACCATATAGACAAGCTTCAGTGAGTCCAGGCAAATAGCTTCTTTTTGGCTCACAGTAAGCCAGCCAAAGAGAGAAAGAGGAAGAATTCCAAGGTGACTTGAATTGATGTGCTTACCTTTCTGCCCAGATTGAGTCCTGCAGCTGTCAGCCTTGTAGTGGCATGTATATTCAAACTGGCATTGAACAAAATATGGCCGAGCAAATATATTTCTGCAATCTGCTGATATTCTGCAGTTACTACTTCTTGTGAATATTCTTATACTATAGTAAATGCAAACTAGTAGACCCTATGTTCCATTTTGATGAAAGACTGTTTCTTACATTTCTACCCTTATTACAGTAATGTGCAGCTTTCCAGAAACTGAATATGCTTTTTCTGTTTAACATGTATGATAAAAGGGAAGATAATGTCACTTGAGTAGCAAAGATTCTGTGGATCACAAGAATGTAGCTACAAAGAAAAGATTGAAATGGAAGAAACGTACACATCTCTCCATCTCTCACCCTAAAATATCCCTGTAGGTTCTAGGCATTCAAAAACTGCTCAAGCTAACAAACTAATAATGTATGTTTGTCTTTTAGATTAATGAGAGACGGTTTAAATGTTCTTTTTCTAAGAGAAATTACAAATTAGCCATAGCATTTTAGATTTTCTGAAGATTTACTTTAGGAAAACATACTGCTGCTCTCGAACTATGATTCTTGCCTTTCCAGCATTAGTGATTTGAAGATTTTGGAGGTCTTTAGTGTCATAGTCTTTAGAGAATTGCTTCTCTTTTTGCAGAGGGAAATGCGTGGAAGTATTACCTTTAAGATTGTGCCAAGTTATCGCACGCAGTCTTCATCCTGTGAGGTAATGAATTTAATGAACCTTCCCATTTCTTCCAATCCTGTAACTAACTGCCTGCTGATGGCTGAATGTTACTGCTTTCTGGGAAATTGTTTCTGCCTGTCCTGTTAGACCACGCACACCAATTTTACAACAAAGATAACGGAACACGAGTAGGTCCCACTTGCCTACTCAGCCCTACCTTCATATTCATCTCATCAGCACCTTAACTAACTCTTTACAGCCTATTAAAAAAAAAAAAAAAAAAAGGAAACGGGATTCTCTATTCATGCACTTAGGAAGCCCCTTTAAAAATCTACAATTTAAACTCATTCCCCAGAAATTCTATTAAAGCTCCTAAGCTGAGGAACAATCCTCCGTTTCTTAGGCTTTAAATATTATTTTACTTCTTTGGGCTGTTAAGGGTTATTTGAATAATCTGTTTCTGTATAACCCTGTTAAGGTAAATTTGTGATGGTTGTCTGTAACTGTTACATGTGGCTTAATATTATGTTTCCATGAAAAAATGATATTTGTCATTACAGAGGAAAAACAGATTAAGAGTTAGTTCTTGTTGAACTAGAAACTTGGTGTTAAGGTTTTTGCACAGTAACATTTAATTCCCTTCTGCTCACAAAGTTATGTTCCAGATTGCAACTGAAGGGGATTAGAAATTCTAGAAAGTGGCTACTTCAGAGATACTGTTCCAATTTAAGCATACAGATGGCATATGCACTATGTAGACGATGCCAATCTTTCTGTGCCACATGCTTAACTGCACAAACAGTTCCCAAATTAAAATTATGAGAGTGAAATCACAATCCCTGATGAAGTCAAATTCCTTATCTTAATTAAAGCTGTGATTTCACCCTGATTGTTTTTGTGTCTCAGCAGATGCTAGAACACACAGAAACTGCTATTGTGATTGTCAGAACAATCTGTTTGCAAGAAAGAAATTTCTGGGTTTTGGTTGCCTTCTGTAGTTCTAATAGGAATCAACAAGAACTAAAAGGTTTTAGAGGTAGAAGGTGTGACAAATTCACGCTTATGAGGCCGATTTTCTTAGTAGGTACAAACATGAAAGCAAACATCCCTCATGAAATGAAAAGGCTTTAAAATGAAACTCAAACAGAAAATCTAGAGTGTGCTGACAAATTTATGCATTCACTTCTGTGCCGTGAATAGCAGTAATAATAAAAGTATATCTCACTTCCAATATTAAAATAGAGAAACCGGTGAAACTATAGACCTGCTGGGAGGATGATGATTTGGAAAAAGTAATTCAGCATACAACTTTAAATTAATACAATTAGGTGTCGTTTTAGTAGTAGCAGGTCATCTTTTTTCCTTAGCTTTGTGTCTTTAGGTTCTTCGTGGCTATTTATTTCACAGAAAAGAGGAAAACAGACTCTTATCTTCCTTTGGAAAAAACAGTAAAACTAGTAATGTTTTTTTTTCCCACAAAGACAAAGGGGAAAAAAAAAAAAGAGCATGTCACATGTCTGATTATCACACTTTGTGGCATTTAGCATTCATTTAATCAGAGGTGGCTGAGTCCATTCCACCTGCTCAGCCACTCTATGACTTTGGATAGATTTTCAACTGTTAAAAGTGTAAGCAAAAAGCCAGCATTTTTATATGATCCTATTAAAGCATCACCACTCCTTTGGTACAGAGAAAACTTTTTTCACAGAATTTTTCAGGATTGTGATTCAGATGATGAATCAAATTCTTAACCATTGGTAAAGACTGAAAATAAATGCTGAATGTCATTGCTAAGACAGAAAGCTTACTTTTCATGCTTTCTAGAAGGATAAATTCAGACATAATGGATCTCCACTAGTTAAGGTATATTTTTGGCAGTATTTCAGTATAAATTTCTGTTTGGTTCCCCTCCTCCCTTCAGTCATGGAAAAGTGTTCACGAAGTATAGTTTTACCAGAAGAGAAGTAGAAAACAAAATCAAGAACTGAGATTTGGGGGGGGCTTCTGCCATGATCACGTCATTGGATTGCAGAACATCTTGTTAATCTTAAATAAGAAAAGCTAAATATTACTAGAGTCAGAGGTGATCTGCCTTTTATGTAGAATTTGTCTGTACACCTTTATATACAAAGGTGAGATGGTGCACGGGATATTATTTTTTTAGTAACTGAGATTTGCATTTCACTTGCCATATTTTTCTTCTTTTGTAGGCATTTAGGAGAAGTATTGTGGTGTTTTCTAAATATTAAGCCACTTTTGCATATTTAGGGAGGTCTTGTCCCTATAGCATGTAATGGTACTCCAGTGTCATTAGTTTAAAAAACCTCACGACTATAATAACTTCAAGTTTTTTAGGGATTTGTCACTTTTGCTGCACCCATACCTTCCATTCAGTTATCAGGCTTTCTATTTTGCAGAGTAGGCTTTGCTTGAAAACCTAATACTTACAAATCACTTTGTATAAAAATTTGATCAGCTGATCACCTGTTTATTCACTGTTTTGGTAAATGTTACTCAAATGAGTTACTTCAGATATCGAAATAACACAGGATGTTGTGTTTTCTGCTTCAGATATCCAGGAAATTTACTCAGATAAATATGAACTTAAGTAATGATTGCAACACATTCTTCTTATGGCTTATGACTGCATGCACTGTTTATACATTTGAGCCTTTTGCTCTAGCTACATGTGTGCTCTTACTCTGTCGTGACAAAACATCCCAAGTAACTTTATAGTGTCAGTTATGTGAGAATGATAAGGGAAGTACTTTTTTTTTTTCTAAAAAAAAAAAAAATCCTTATACACATCCTTTATTTTCATATTGTGTTTGTGAAACACTGAAGTTGTTTCATTAAAAAGAAAAGCGTTTAGGTATATGAGATTTTAAAAATCTGATGGTAGTCACCATGGATTTTTTATTCCTTTAGTCTTGGAATGTCTCCATTAGTGCTCAAACTATGACTTTTTATAGTCTTAAGCACTTTTTATATTTGTATTAAAAATACTATCAGAAAAGTACCTTGAACAAGCCTGAAATTGAAATGTATTTTCAGGGGTTTTTCTTCTTTTTTTCTTTTTTTTTTTTTTGGTGTGTTTGGCAATAGTGTCATTAATCTAGCTGTTCTTGTCAGTAGCTAATTTGATCAGGTCATACCTAGTAGACATAACTGACTTCTGCTATAGGATTGCATCTCAGATGCATTGATTTATCATTCATAATCCACACCTAAGAGCGAGCAATCCACAGAAAACTAGGTTTGCTGTCATTTGGAAATAATTGATTGTTTTCTCTAAGGCTTCATCTGTGATGCTTCAGCTGAAGAGCAAGGATCCAAAAAACTGCTCTTTTGTTATTTGGCCTGAGGCTAGACAAGGTTGGGAAGTCAATATAGTCAAGTTATACTGAAGTATGATAACAATACTTTTACACTACTCAGAATCATTTGAATCATCCAAGCATTTTACTGCTGTTATCCTCAGGAGAACTGGAGCTTTTTCTGATTTACTGGGGAAACTCACAAACAAAGCTGAAGTGCTAAGCAGTCCTAGCATTCTACAAGGATCTCTCTATTCTTCGGTTTGTCTCATTAGACTGTGCATAATACAATTTTTCTCTTTACTTTTGAATCTGATGTTTTTTGTAAGCCAAGGTCCCTAGGAAATTATGACCTTTTGAAACACCTTTGAAATTGTGAATGAATTGCCTAATTATTTGAAAATTGAGCATACACCTCTTGACTAGCTTAACAGTTTGATTTCTTGCAGTTAGTACTGAAATCACCAGCAGCACTGAAAATGTCTGTTTTCTTCAGTATGTTATGATGAAGATTTACTTCGAGTAATGTGCTGTCTTCTGTTGAGATTTGTTGGAAGAATACAAATCAAAACATTCCAAACCAAGAAAACTTCCTACAAAGGGAGCAGGTTTCAACAGAGCCCAGAAATAGTGGCGTTGTTTTAGTTACTGTAAACTTCTTTTTCCTCAAATGACTTGGGTGCTTGCTTTACTTTCCAAAGCTTTCCCGTGCTAAACCATCACTGACCAGCAGATTGTAACAAACTGGGTTGGGGGGGTGGAGGATAAAGTTTAAAAAAAAGAACAAAAAAAAAAAAAGGCTAAAATTAATTTTTCACCTCTTATTGAAAGTGATAAAATGGCAGAGATAGAATTACAGATCAAGCAGAAAAACTCTTTGTAATAGATGGAAGTCACTGCTTTTTTGGAAAAAAAGTTCCTCCTAGCTGCTATTTGGTAAAGGTGATGCTGATAATTCCGTACAACAAACAAACAAAAAAAAAAAAAAATAACATTTCCTTTAGGGTTTTCTTATTTCAGGTTTGTTTTTTTGTTTCCCAGTAATGAATAGTTTATTTGGTCTCATTTGAGCATGTTAAACTTGTTATCCTGGAGTGATTTTATAAATAGAATTGGAGCAGATTTCTCTCAGTCAGTTACATTTTGCAAATAGTTGTGGGAGCCAAATGAGCATTTTTTTCTTATGCGTGTAGCAGAAGCATACAGACCTACGTACTTTGAACCACAATGATTTTACAACCGTAATATTGTCAGATCTGTCTTCAGCTGTGTTAAAATCAAAGCAAGCATTTAGATAGCTGCATAGTGAACTTTCTGTGAAAACATATCTAATGAGTCTACAAAAAAGTGCAGAAGTTATACATGAGTTTGTACCTCAAGCATACAGGCAGCAAGAGGAATAAAGCAAAGCCTGTCATTTTAACTTTTCTTGATGCTTTGAAATAGTCATGAGCACTCACATAATTAGTGTGAGTTTGAGCATATTAGTAGAGGATCTTTACCTGATTAATATTGCATGAACAGTTTAGCTCCTATTCTGTTTTTTAATTTGTTCACAAAGGCACTTGTATTGATAAAATGTGAAAGAGATAACTTTGTTTTCTTTGAGAACTGTTTTAGCCCTTTTTTTCTGCTGTCCTTGACATTGTGCAAAATTACCAGACATTCCTAAACTAGTTCCAAAATTCCCTTTGGAGTTAAGGAAATTTTTTTTCACAATGTATGAGTGAATGACTTCCTGAAGAGATTGTGCAATTATCTGATCTTACAGAATTAAGTACTGTACAATCAAAATGGCATGTGAAAAAGATTGCTCTAGAAGTGACTTCCTTGCCTTTGCAAAACCCTGTCAGAAATTCCTGTTATCTTTTCTGTATCCCTTTTTCCAAGGATGCACTCTGTGTCTGTTCTCTCCTCGCTGAAGTGTAGGACCACACTGGTAGTCTAAATCAAAAGAGGCAACTTTTTAAAAATTATATATTTCCATGCTCTTAAGCCCATAAGAATGTTGGAGGCCACAAAACTCAGCGTGCTGTTAAAATGGATGAGGAGGGAGAGAAGAATATCTAATTTTCTTCTCGGGTATTAGCTTCAGTGTCTTTGAGGCACTTCGAGACACATGTAGAGAGATGTGTCTTACAGAGTAGAAACTGGTCAACACTGACCTCCATCACATAGCTGAAAAAAATGATTTAGAAGCATATTTAAAATGGGATATGTGCCTGATTCTATTCAGAATACTATTCAGCATATAATTTTAAAGTTAAACCTTTGACAAAGATACCAGTATGACTACTGGTGCCTTTAGCAATTGTTAAATCCCTTTAGCATTGTCACAGACATGATATTTAAGAGAAATTAAAAAGCTGTTTGATTGCTAAGGCAGTATGAAAATAGCTATTACCTAGGATACATCAAGATGTAAAACCCAAAAAACTATGGAAAAACTTTTCAGATTTATGGAGTTCGTGATGTGGAAACTTTCACAGATGAAGCAGCTAAGCAAATGGTTATAAGGCTGTGGATGTAACTGTTCTTTTAAATATATCTGTGTTCCTGTGAGAGTGTTGTGTTGTTAATGAACCTTGTGTCTTATTTCAGAGAGATTCCCCCTCTACATCCAGACAGTCCCCAGCTAATGGTCATAGCAGCACTAACAATTCTGTTTCGGTAAGATTTCCAGTTCCACACAGAAAAAGTGTGAAAGTTTTGTTGGTGCTCATCTGCCATTACTGTTATACTTACTGTGTGGTCAGTGGAAAATTTTGTCGTGCTGGTAGAACCAAGGTTGTTACATATGTAACTCCCTATTTTTGTTTTCTAAGGGATTTTTTCCAACATATTCTTCTCATTAAAAGCCATATAGCGGATTAAATGTTAATATTTGTGACACTTCAGTCATCCTTAAGTCATTGTTAGCAGTTTCCTCAAAATTAAGCAAAGGTTTAAAGTGGAAGCTTCATTTCCATCCTGAACTTTGGAAGCAGTGCCTGAAGAAAGAACAGCCGTGCAGTTGGTATTTCAGGACATTTTAGACTCTTTTATTTTTGTGTTCTGAGAGCCCTCTGGAGCGTGTACTGGTTTCCGCTATCTGAGTTAACGAATTGGTGTGCCCTCTGCTGTTGTGGTACGTGCACATACTGTGTGAAATATGAGCCTTGCCTGGGTATGAAAAGCAAAAGGAAGTGGCTTTAAACTGCACTCCAAACCAAGCTATTATCATCACATCTTTAACACAAAGTACTTCTGTTTCCTATGTATTCAGGTAGAAAAGTGCTGTTGACCTCCTGTTTTTCTGAATTATATTAATGTTAAAATTTGTGTTTGTTTATCATTTGTCATTGTTTGGACCAATGTCGTAACTGTACGTGCAAGTTACTTCAGTAAGAGTGCTGTCAATATGATGAGATCATGGGATTAGCTAAAAAAAAAAGAAAAAAAAAAATAACACAAACTGAGTAACTACTCCTTCAACTATTAAAAGAATAACAACTTAGAAATTATTTGCCACAAGATAAAGTGCTTATTATTTTTTGTGAAATAAAAAATAATTGTGTGGGAAAAAAAAGTAAGAATTTTTTGTGAATTGAATTGAATTTTTAACATGATGAATGGCTATAATCTTATCCCTCAGCACAATAAATCACATTATACATTTTAAATATTTTTATATATATATTTTTAATAGCCATCCTTCTTTTTTTAAAAAAAGACTAAGTATGAAGTGAAAAGGCATTCACAGAAAAAGCCTCTTTCACTTGTTGGTGCTTTTGTGTTGAAGATGCTGAATTATTTATTAAAAAGCACATTCTCTATCTGCTTAAACTTTTTACCTGCTTTCTTCAGCTTGCTGCTAAACAGCCTGGGTTTGATTTTTCTTTAAGAAAAAAACTTTTTCTAAACATGGGTCAATGCTTTATACTTTTATCTGACTTACCATTTTACTGTAATGTAGTATGAATCACTAACAAATGGTGTTGTGTAATCTTAAAAAGTGAAATGAAAATTTCTTCTCCTGGGTTGACTTTATTCTGCAGGACTTGCCATCGACAACACAACCAAAAGGACGACAGGTGAATAGATATCCTCCACGGGAATTTTTGTTACCTTAGATGCTAGTGAACATCCCTGCTTATCTTTTTCCCTCTCATATTCTGTATGTGCTGGACTAAAACATTTAAGCTTGGAAAATCTGTTCTATTTTTTTTCATTTTTCTTTTTAACTCATTTGTTTGTGGCTAATTCAAGATAGCATTTTTTTCATGTGTCTGTATGTGTGAGAATTACAAAGTCATTGTAAATTTAACTGGATATGTTGTTTTAATTCAGAATGCATTAATAGACTTACTGTTGTGCAGTGACTTTTGCAGGTTTTCTTTTTAAAGGAAAGCTCAAATTGGTATTTTAGCTGAAATGGAGACTAGTAGGGCAAATGTTTAATAGTCTACTCTAAAAACTTGTACTGACCAAGATTCTAAAGCTTTAGTTTGTCTATAGTTATTAACATTAACAAAACTCTTAAAAAAAAATTGAAAACAGTTTCTGTTAAGGGTTAAGTCTAAAGATAGTCCCTTAAATTTTTAATCCCAAGGCTCGGACTCAGTAACCTCCCCTAACTTTGTTACCTGGACCTAATGGTAATACATGTTATCATGGAGCAAAGCAAGATCTTTCCTCTCCAGAGAATTCCAAGAAAGCCCTTGAGGGCTATGCAGCGGATTCCCTATGATTCCCTTTGCAATTGATTTTTTTTTCCGCTTCTGTCTCCAAATCAAGATATACCATCAAGTGATTTGTGATTCGTCTTCAGTATCTGTCCCATTTATATATAGCCCTTCCAGAGTCTACCTGCATCTTTAACCATGTACTCAACCTATTTCTCTGCCAAGGGTTTTAATACCAATTCTTGGAATTCCATTCAAAAGTATCAATTAACTCCACGATCTGTCTTTTAAAATCTTCTCATACTACTGTCCAGTTAAGTTGGCTGGAATATCTATTACAAGAATGGATTGCTCTCAATTTGTTTCCCATTTTTAAAGCATATAGGCTATATAGATCTTTCAACTTTCTGTTGTCTTATGAAGTTTCCGGCTGCCTGAATGTAATCCTGGAGAGGCTCCATGAAATACCTTCCAAGCTGTTGTGTTAGGCTTTCATTTGCATATCATAAGGTATTTTTCCCAGGAGAAGAGACTTTTTTCAAGGCAGTATCAGAACAATGGTGTTCCTCGTACTCACACCATTTATAGCTACCTGCCTTTTTTCTAGACTTTTTTTCCTGTTGAACCAGTGTATTTTTCTAGTACCTTGTCGTTCTTGGAGACAGTAAGGGCCTCAATAACAGAGACATTGCCATGTTCCCTGAACTGCCAATGAATGGCTCAGTGAATCAATGGATAATGGCTCAAATTAAGCAGGTAGTTCAAAAATAAGGAAGTTTTTAGATGGCAAAAATATATTAGATAAAGTTGAGGAGAAATAAGGGGTTGGTTCAATAATGATTCCTTTATAGAAAGCAAATTACTAAAAACAATAGTTGGTTTCAAAGTACTGTATTTTTCAGGTGATTAAAAGAGGTTGGATTGCTTGTCTAAACTCAAAACACCCAATGGACAGCACAACAAGGGTCAGATTTAGTGTATTAAAAGTTAACTTCTGTATTCACTTTATCATCTGATGTTATCACTGTAAAGAGATAAAAATGCACCAGGTACAAGATAGTAGTGATAAGCCATTTTAAGTTAGTTTATTCATATGCTATGTTGGAGATTGGATTACTACAGAAATGAACTTTTAAGTGCCATAAGTAGTGCTAACACTGCATAGTTACAGCTATTTTTGGAGCAGAATTTGAACAAATTTGAAAAGTGTTTGTAACGGTTTGAATTAAGGCTATCAACTTTGCAATGTACATATGAAAAATAATCTAGTCAATTTTTCATAAGATCAGCAGCGGAATATACATGACTGTCTGAGATGCTGTAGGGTGATGTCTGAAATTCATAAACTAGACGAATTGCCCATCTTGGACATGACATTTAATTCAGATTTTAAGATCCTTGGATGCATCAGGGCTGTAATTAGCAACCAAAACTTCAGATCACTTTCAATTTTATTTCCTAGGATTGAGACCTCACTAGCACACAAATCAAGGAATGGTATATTATTTAAAATTGTGAAGTCAGAGTCTGAATTCTTTCTGTTCATGTTCCTTAGAGAATAACAATGAAATCACTAGCTTTCATTTACACAGGAGGAGACTTTTACTGAAAAACCCATGCAGAGAATTCCCAGATTCCTCCTGAGTAACTGTATGTGATAGGTGCAACACAGGACTTCCTAATTAATCTTTAAAAAAATGTACTAAATTTTCAGTCTAAATACTAAAGATCAGTAGTGTAGCCTAAGGCCTTTATACTGTCCAGTAAAATTTCCTGTCATACAGATATTTAAAACATGTCACAGGATTTCAGTTGGAAAGTACAGTACAGTTCAAGTTGTAAACTGCAGGCTTATAGTCTATAATGATTCATGATAGTTACTATTGATTTGAGGGACTGTCAGTTTATGACGTGTTCATTTTTGCTATTCAGGCTATCACACTTTTGCCATTCTGTTTCTTCCTTTGCTTGTTGCAAACATTATGTGTAGCTACAAATCAAATTTTCACCTGTTTTTCTTAATACTGTACCAGTAGTAATATTGCAGTGTCTTTTATAAACTCTTTTTTATAGATATATGTAAGAGCACAATTTGAATATGATCCAGCAAAAGATGACCTCATTCCTTGCAAAGAAGCTGGCATCAGATTCCGCGTTGGTGATATTATTCAAATCATAAGCAAAGACGATCACAACTGGTGGCAGGGTAAACTTGAGAACTCCAAAAATGGTACTGCAGGTCTTATTCCTTCTCCTGAACTTCAAGAATGGTATGACTTAAGTTTTCTATAAAAATTAATTTGGCTTTGCTTTTATTTCTTTCTTTCATGCTTTCTGTTGTTGTGTAGTTAGCTTTTGTATATCTTTTCTTTATCTAAAAAAAAAGTATATGTATTGCCTCAGTTTCTGTGGCATTGATTTTTTTTTTCTCATATATGCATAGCAGTAAGGGTTTCATGCACACCCCATACATGTGGTTGCATTAGAAAAATAAACGCCTGTGTTAGTAAACATTGTCTGTGCTTTCTGATACACTATAGGAAACTAGGACTGAAGGTTACATACAAATTCTTCATCTAAGTGGGTCAAATGAATTTCTGTTTTAGGTTCTGAACCCTGTTTTCATTAGCACTGCTTACATCCAGGTGCTGCAGGAAAAACGCGTTAGGAAGATATCAAGCACAAAGGTCATTTAGAGAGTTTTGGGAGTTTCTCTCCTTTTCATTTTTCATGTGAAAGCCAAAAAGTGGCAAGAAATCACAAGTGGAAAGATTCCTGAATGACAGATTGAACTGCAGTGGTACTGAGTACTGCAGAAGCAATGCAGAGCCTTTAAACAACCTTCTGCAAAAGCTGCTTAGTAAATGTTTTGAATGTATCAGCACAAATTCTGGCAAGCTAAGTCCTAGGCCATGAATGGTATGGCCATAACTCAAGAAAGTTCATCAATATTGATAATCTAGCCCAAAACATTTCATACAAGATTTTGCACATAAAAGAACTCGAAGGCTATAAAGTTCACCTGTGCCACCTGTACTGGCTAAGGGAGATTTTACTAGAAGAGAAACAGGTAGACAAGACATTTCGTTCCATCTCAAGAGCTCCCTTGCGAGCCTTGATCTAAGGGAGGCACTGGTATACATTGCAACAGGAACACTTGCAATACTTCATCCTAAAGGTCAGCCTCAAAATAGTTACACAACACAACTTGTGCAGAAGTAATTTAGACCATAGTGGTGTTTTCAGGCTTCATGTTCTTCCAGTCTAATCTGCTGCAAAGTGGCCTACAGCCATTTTAGGAGCTGCTCTTCCTCCTGTGCCCCCTTGATCTGTGAGATTTCATAATTACCACAAAGGAGATACTCTTTAGATCAAAATGCCTCTTTCCGTTTTTAAGTCATCAAAACAAAAAAGGGTTTTGAAAAGTTTTACTGTAGTCTTGATCAATTAAAAAGTCTTATTTTTCTATTTCATTCTCTGGCCGTTTTCAAAATACACCAATTACAACAAAAAAAATGTTTTTAATTCTCCATACGCCAGGCGAGTTGCTTGTATTGCCATGGAGAAGACCAAACAGGAGCAACAGGCCAGCTGTACATGGTTTGGAAAGAAAAAAAAGCAGTACAAAGACAAATATTTGGCAAAGCACAATGCAGGTATGCAAAATAAATAAAAAGTGTCTTTATCAGGTTAATTTTTTTACAGTGTAAACCTTACCGTTAGTTGTTCAGCCACTGTTACATAAACCTAACGAGTTACTTAGGAAATATATGAATAAAACTCTAATTATGCCGACATTACTCTGCCTGTTCTTTGCTATTTAGACATATATCTTAAGCAGTGAGAGGCAAGCTGCAACAAAATAAATGTATCATAATATCTCAATATAGGCTTACAGCGTTTTGGGTTTTGTATTTAAAGGAGTACTAGAAACCCACAGGATATGAATTTTGCAATCTTTAACTGTACTGTGCTCTACAGAAGACTTTTCAGTAGCATTCTTGTTAATATGTTTATAGTTATAGATTATATATGTGAAAATATGAAAGCGCAATTTTCTTGAAGTGTTAGAGCTGGAAGTGGATTAAGGGCCATTGCATAGTCAGTGTGTGATTTACAGTTGCCAGATATAACAAACTCTGAAAGTTTATCCTCCTTGCAGTGATTTCTGCCTGAATCCTAAGTTTTAGTTTTCTATTTAGACTGCTGAAAAATGTAATTGTTTCAGAAAATTTTGAAAGTAGAAGGGTAGAGTAAGAGATTCTTGCTGAGTAAAATTCATTATTTTTAATAGTAAAGAAGGAAGACACCTTTGTTCATGAGTGGAATTTAGTTAATTTCTTCTTCTGATATAAAATACTCGAATGTGTTGAAATTGTCACTGTTGCTTTTGCATTGATATCACATACTGTGATGATAAATATGTTGTGATCTCTTGGGACAATTGCGGAGATTTTTATTAGAATTTAAAGATATACCTGTCCAAACATTATGATGAAAGTATTTTATATATTGCATTTGTTTCTGGGTTTTTTTTCAGTTGCATTCTTGAATGCACCAATTAAACAATATAAATATCTATTTTTACATTTCTCCTTACCTGTGTAATCTGTTTGCATTATCAGAGCTCACAATATATCAGTACTACACAATTAATGTTTACTTAAAAGTCATTTGGAAATAAAATCTAAGGAAGTCAAAGAACAGTAGTTGTCATTTACAGTCCTTAATTCACCATCACATTTAAGGTGCTCACAGTTAAATATAAAATTATTCCTTATTCTGAAAACCCTTGCAAGTGGAGATTGAAATCTCTAACTTGTTTCCTTCCTTCTTCTGGTTTAACATTCTGGTCGTTTTAACGTTCCCACTTCATTGCAGTAGCAGTAACCCATGTTTTACTAATTATGGCCTTAACAAAAACTGTTGAGAATAAACTGGATTTTATGACCTAAAGTCTTTGATAATGCTGGTTTTAAAGTATTATTAATTGCTCCCAGCAGACATTCCTAACAGCATTGCTACTCCCTTCAGTTGTGGCAGTTTAAGGTTGCATGGCCATGCTGTTTATCAGTTAACTGAAGGACAACCCAACAGAAAACATGGTTTCCTTTTCTTTCTTTAAGGCAGATACATTTCTTAATACAGTTTGCAGTGCAGCTGTGTAGTTGGTAATGTCAGTGTGACTAAGCACACCATGCTGCAAAGAGCAAGGCAATACTGGAGGAGCAAAACAAGCTCAAAAATGTTGTATCAGTTAAATCCCTGAAAGTAATCTGGACTTTCCTAGCCTGAAGTAGGAGAGACATTTTGGGAAAGACCGACAAGTGGCAAGAAAGCACTTGCCACTGTTACTGTTGTTAGTCACTTTACAGCACAGCGTTTACCAAAAATCAGAACTGTAAACGTTAAAAGTTATCATAGTGGCCATAAAAGAAATTATTCTTTTCAGAACACCATCTGACACTTCCCCTTAAGGAGTCAAAAAGTTAATGGAAGCACATATTGGAATCAAGGTTTCTCTTAGGAATGTGTATTGATCTTACGTTGAGGTATTAAAGGTGATGCCAGTAATATTCCAGGGAATGATGCTAAATGTAAGATATAAAGAGGTTCACTGAAATTCTGTGGTGGTCACAGGAGTTTAACTCAGGTGGTGCTGAATTCACCTTCTCTGAACTGAACTACTCCATCATGTCTGGTATTGATAGAAATATGGCAACAGTGGCTTTTGGAAGCTTTCAGTGCATCTGTCTCAGGGTAAAAACCATATCTTTTCTTCAGTTGGATCCAAAATGAGTATAAAAATTTGGAACTGAGAAACCTAATCTAGATATCAAAATGTTGCTCTTACAAGAAAGTAGAATGTATTTAACTTTTATCTTAGTATAAAATTCAAGAAGTTGTTTAGCAGTATGTAATCTGTTTGGACTTCCCTGTTGTTTTTGTCTTAGGGATGAGACTGAGCTGGGGTGATAAGAAATGACCTAGTGAAGTATTTCATAGACAGCTAAGATTTGTGTGACTAGCTAATGATTTGAGAGCTAAGATTATGGTGCAATATATTGAGATATTTCTGGAACTGAAAATGAAATTATTCTGCAAATTGGACATAGTTAGGAAGTTAAGAGGTTAATACTCAGTTGCTTTTTATAATTAAAAGCAAATATATTCTCCTTTGCAAGGAAAATACCATCCTGTTTTTCTTTCCTGCATACTTGCTATTATTGTGTTCTTCAAGAGACAGTTTTGTGATCATGCATCTTATGGATCATGCATCTAATGTCAGTTTTAAACCAAAGCCCACAGAAAAAAATAAATATTTTTCATCATTAGGTTCACTGACATTTTTATAAATGTTCTAAAGATATATTGCTGTGATATCTAGATGTATTTTTAACTTATTTTATTGAATTGTTATTGCAGGACTTCATAAAAGAACACTCTTTTGAACATATTAGAACTATGCTTTGTATTATACATAATGTAGAAAATTGCCAAGCTTTTACAAAATATGTTTATCATTTCTTACTGTGATTTATTTGCCTTGTGTTTAGACTATTGCATGGTAAAGTTTATTTTGTGCATATACTTTTTATTTTACTAATATATTACAAGCCATATCTCAATGACCCCTGTACATTTTTCATGCTGTCTTACTCCCAATGGCCTCTGTGCATGTAAGTAACCTGTCAAGTGACAATGCCTCTTTATTTGCTTCTTACTGTTTCCTTTCAAGAACTCCCTTTCGTTATTAGCTAGTAACACAGAAGCATTAAAGTTCAGTCTTTAAATGTGCCCTGTATTCCTCATATCTTGTGTATATTAAAAAATAAGTCATTTTTCTTTTGCATTTGAAAACCCTATAATCATTAGTTACATCCATGTAGACTGAGACACATCTTCTCCATGCTGCTAGTTTGTGATGAATGCATAAATACGTATCATTTCTGTTGTTTGTTCCTGTTGTTTCTATCTAACATAATATGGTTTTGTTCAAGAAGAAAAGAAAGGATTGATTTTTTAAATTATTTTTAAAGGGAAAAGATATTTACAGGGCTAGGTGCTTAGAATGGTAAAACTTTTGAACTTGTTGTAGTTCTTTAACCCTTTCTATTATTACATGAATTATTAATTAGTGTAAATAATGTGAAGTTGCAGAAAGGACAGTAGTAAAAATTCCATGTTTGTCGAGGTAAAGAAAAATATGACTAAATTCTTGCTCGTAATATTTGGGGAAAGTTTGAAAGAGATTCTTCTTTAGGATGAAATTCAAAATACTTCAAATGGACTAGGAAGTTTTCATATCTGTATCTTTTCAAGGTCTTATAATAAGAGTTGAACAGATAAGTGACTAAGTTGTAGTTTGACCAAATTGATGTAGATCTACTTTAGGGTAAAAGACTGCCATTGACTTGAAAAATTTGCCCTATAAAAAGAAACACTTTTAAGTTAAATCCTTTGCTGCTTTAACTGGGACTTCAGTGCAAAGAACATGTGCTTTCTGGTAGGCTCCACAGCCTTAATGCTGCTCTTGGTGGTTGGGGACTTCTGGAGAAAGCAAAGTAAAGCTCCCACCACTGCTTGCTTTCCTGAGGGGTTTTGGGTAGGAGGAGAGGGAGAGAGAGGGAGATGTATCCAGATTCATCCTAAAAGATGGATGGGATATAGCTGAGGTGAACACACTAGCTTGGGACTTGGAAAAACTCAGAGATCCCATACTTCAGATGCAGTCTCTCCTCCCTTCTTTTATAGCATGCATAAATACAGAACTGAAAACTCTTGTTTGTTATTCTGCTTGCAATTGCTGATTGTTGTAATCTTTTTAAGTGAAATTAGCTGCCTCCTGGCTTCTTTTTTCATTAGAATTCAGGAAGAATTACCTGAGATGATATGGTATTGGACACAGGAGGAATAAGCTGCTTTCAATGAACAAAACTTGATTTGTCAGTCATTATATGCCTTGGCAATTGACAATAGATTGATAAGCATGATGGAATTCATTCAATTTCAAATGCAGTTGAAATTATTTCTGAAATAATACTTTTACAATTTTTCCCTAAATATGACGGAGGTTCTTTTATGTAATGCCATCACTTTTTATTAGAATTCTTCATTCTGTCATGTTTTAAAAGCATGTCAACTTAACTGGCACGTGTGTTTAAAGAGCAGTCTAATTACAGTTAAAATGGTGGTGGTTTTGGAGAGCAAATACCACAAAGTATTAACATTCTTCTCTATCCATTTCTTATAGATCTTGTTAAAACATGGTTATGAAAGTATCCCTATCTTCAGTGTAAATAGATGTTCTCATATTGTATTCATGTTGGTCACTGTCTACAGATTTTTCTTTAGTACTGCTATTTCTTAGGAATGCAAACGTGAATGGCATGCCATTTTAGATAATTTTTGTGGTCTGCTGAATACTGCATGAAAGGACGTGCAAACTTTCCTGAGCATTTCAGTAGCTTTGTTGCTGCTTCTTAAGTTTTTAATTGAACATTTTTGTTAAAATTGGATAATGAAATGTTTTTATTTTCCATAACGTATTACTTTGTATTGTAAATCTAGAACTTGTTAAAATTGTAATTTTTAGCACTATTAATTATCACCCTTAATATGCCTTTTTTTTCTTATGCCTGGGGGCTTTTTCTTTTGTGTTTTAGTGTTTGATCAATTAGACCTCGTCACATATGAAGAAGTAGTAAAACTGCCAGCATTCAAAAGGAAAACACTAGTCTTACTAGGTAATTTTGAGTTATTATTCTGAACGTAACAGCATAGTTTTGAACCCTTTCTGGTGGAAAAGTTATAATTCATTTTTATGTTGTGGATTAGGTGCACACGGTGTTGGAAGAAGACACATAAAAAACACACTCATCACAAAACACCCGGACAGATTTGCTTACCCCATTCCCCGTAAGTAGCAATGTTCTGTGTACTGCAGAATGGTTTGTGCCATCCTTGACCACACGTCCATTGTACTACCATGTGTGTTCAGTTCTGCTGAGGTGAATCCTATCTTAAAGCAGGGAGCTGTGGTAGGGCTGGGTATATTTCTTCTTTTCTTTTTTTTTTGGGGGGGAGGGATAACTAAGTAGTACCAATTTTACATTAAATGTTTCTTAGTGTTAAAAAAACTTCTGAAGCATGCTTCTCCCTACTCCAAATGTTTGTTAATTTAGAATGAGGCTAAAACATTTTTCATTTTTCTGTGCTAATTTTATATTTACAGTTCAGGTAAGACTGGAACAGCCTTGACATTTAAAACACCTATAAATCCCATGAGAAGAAATATAAAATTAATTTAGAGGAAACTTCTAATGTGTAGCTTATATGAATGTTTTAAATTATTTTTCACAGCCTGTCTGGAACCTAGGTATTACACTGAAGGACTGGTATTATACTAAAATAACTTCAAGTTCCAGGGACGAAAGTAACAAAAAGAAAACACAATCAACTTCACTGCTTACAAGTAGATTGTTATGAAGGGCAGAGGGGTATTTTCCGTTCATGACCATCTCTGTCAGTACTATGGCAGGACTCTCATATCCTACTACCTGATCTCTTGGAGATGTACCCTTTTTCCTCAGACTAGGCATTCTGAAACAAGAGCATCCAGCAACTAACTCTGTCCACCATATTTCAGGCTGACTTCAGAGACAGCATGCATGGCTCAGAAGTGACATTGATGACCGTTATGCATTAATTTAATTTTCTTTGTTAGCACTTTACTTTAAAACTGCACTTAGGTGGTTTTTTACCTATAAGTATCTTGTTGCTAAAAAGTATTAATTTTTAAGAACTTATCTGTAGACTATTTGAAAGGGGAAAAAGATTAGTTGGCTGCAGATGGCTCCTAGATAAGGAGTTAGACAAAGAGCAGCAGAAGGAAGACAGAAGGACCTAGCCCCTTTGAAAGCATGAGGCATTAGATGACCCCAGCAGCCGTGTGAAATTGCACTGTTTTGTCACACTACTGTTTATATCTAGACACATAAATCCTGGATTAGGCACTTAAACAGTGTGGTGCCAGGAGTATGTGACGTACATTGTACCTGTTAAATACAGACGAGATATGGAGGAAGGAGGGTAGTAACCCAGCAAGTATGTTCTCCATTACAAAGACCTAAAACAAAGAGTCATAAGTATTTTACAGTATGCTTTTCACCCAGTATCTCTCCAGTACTAACTGCATTGCTGTGGGAAGGTAGAAGCTAAACTAGTTATTTTTTCTTCAAATAGCTATTAAAATGGACTCACCTATGCTGTGATGACCATGCCTTAGATTGCCTGCATTAGGTTCCTGCTCTGTGAAAGCACTGAAATTGTTTCACTGATTATACAAGAAGACTAAAAAGACTGGACTGCAAATAAGGATGAAACTCAAGTGCTTAAGCATCAGTATGATGTTTAGATGCCTGTTTTAGACACCACTTGACCTCCAGCCCCACTCCAGAAGACCAGTGGTCTCCTTTGTCTCCTGTGTTATATATAATAGTCCTATATGAATGTTTCAGATTTAAAGCACTTAAAGTATTTAAAACAGCACCTTCTGCAGATGTTTAGAGACCCAAATCACTTCCTTATGTTAGTGATGTACTTAGGTCATACAAAATACATCACCTACACCTGGAAGTATTATGGGAACCTGATCTGCCTTTCAGCTCACTCGGAGTGTGGGGTTGTGGGGATTGCTTCATGAAGAAATTGCCTACCTACTGAAAAGCTGATCATAAAGGTCGTGTCAAACACAGTGGTAATTAATTGAAAGAATTAGTAGGTTATACATCTCTTATCACAAAGATCTGCAGAAGCAATATATTCATTCACAAACTATGTTACTGCTAAGTAGCTTTCATCTCTCTTAAAAAGTAATCAGGCCCTCACCAACTTTTTATACTTACAGTTTCACACTCAGAAGGAGAAAACCTCATAAGAATTTAAGTAAAAAAAAGGAAAATAAGTGTTTTTGCAGAAGAACATGATTTGGAGAAAAATGAAAGTGTGTAAGTTCAGTAGACCTAGGGCAGCAATGAGTACTATAGTGATATTTTATGGTTTATATAATCCATTGTTCTTTAATTCTTTAAAGCAATAACAATCATCTGTAGTATTTTTAGATAACTCTTCATCTCTAAAATATGCTAATTAATCCTCAGAACATTGCTGATTCATCCTATGAACAATAATAGTTATAATTAAAAATAGAAGAAGTTATGTACAATTTTGGGATACCTTGCTTGAAATCATCATTGGGTTTTTGTAAGATACGGGATTAGATTGGGAAGAGATGTGGTGTTTCAGATATGTCACCAACATAAGTATGATAGTGGAAAAATATGGGAGTAAATCAGTTTGTGAGGGCCTATTAGAAGAGAGAGAAGCAGGTGGATATCAGTGTGGCTGTGGAGAAGAGAGGAACAGATGGCCTACAGAATCTCAGAATGGTTGAGATACCTGCCTCTGGAGGTCATCTGCTCCAATCCCAATGCTCAAGCAGGGCCACTAGAAGCAGTTGCCAAGGACCGTGTCCTGGTGACTTTTGAATATCTCCAAGGATGGAAACTCTGCCACCTCTCTGGGCAATCTATGCCAGTGCTGACCCTTACAGGGAAAAAAATATTTCCTTGGGTTCAGACAGAAACTCTTGTGTTTTAGTGTGTGCCCATCGCCTCTTGTCCTGTCATTGAGCACCGCTGAAAAGAGACTTGCTCCATGTTTTTTACACCTTCGCTTTAGATATTTGTACTCATTGATGAGATCCTCCAAGCCTTGTCTTCTCCAGGCTGACAGTCCCAGCTCACTCAGCCTTTCCTCACAGGAGAGGTGCTCCAGTCCCTTAGTGTCCCTTCACTGGACTTACCCAGTGTGTCCATGCCTTTTTTACTAGTGAGCTCAGAACTGGACACAGCACTCCCAAGTGTGGCCTCACCAGTGCTGAGTAGAGGGAAAAGATCACCTCTATCCATCTGCTCCCTGTACTTGATCTAATGCAGCCCAGGATACTCTTAGCCCTTCTTTGCCAAAAGGGCACTTTGCTGGCTTATGTTCAACTGTCTACCAGTACCCCCCACAGGGCCTTTCCTGGAGAGCTGCCTTCCAGCTGGTCCGTCCTCAGCATGTGAATGAGGTGTAGGAAGACTCGGCACTTCCCCTTTTTGAATTTTATGAGATTCTTCTCAACCTGTTTCTCCAGCCTGTCAAGATCTCTCTGGATGGCCACACAACCCTCTGGTGTATTAACCACTCCTCCCAGTTTTGTGTCATTGGTATCCTTGCTGAGGGTTACACTCTGCCCCATCATCCAGATCATTAATGAAGATGTTGAACAGGATTGGGCCTGGTACTGGTCCCAGGGTTAAAATGGAGATGTTGAGTTGTTTAGAAACTATGAAAAATGTGAAATTTGGCCTTTGTTTGGTGTTGAAAGCAGCTGATAGTCTTGGCCAGGTAAAGGTTGTTTATGACCTTCCTCTGTTATGTTCTTTCTCTGTTAACTTCTCTGCATCTCTTCATCTCTTACTTTTCCCAACACACATCCACCAGATTCCTGCTTTTCTCAGCCCTTATCATTCTGCCTACCTCTAGCTCATGCTTTGTTGTTCTATGTGTAGTTTGACAGGTCATCATTCAGTGAATAAGTATTAACAAACCAAACAAAAGCCATAGATAAGCATAACACTGCTTTTGTACTAAAAATATTTTGTGTTTTGTGTTTTCAGACACAACCCGACCTCCAAAGAAAGATGAAGAAAATGGGAAAAATTACTACTTTGTATCACATGACCAAATGATGCAGGATATATCAAACAATGAATATTTGGAATATGGCAGCCATGAGGATGCAATGTATGGGACAAAACTGGAAACAATACGAAAGATCCATGAGCAGGGACTAATTGCAATACTTGATGTAGAACCTCAGGTAACTAATTAGAAGTGTATGAAAACGGACTCATCACAAATCCTTCAACCTTATTTTATTGGGATATATTTAATTTTATTGGCTGCATACTAAGTAAGTAATGTATACAGTAATGTGGACCAGAAGTCCCTGGAAGACCCAAGGTATCAATCTGTGAAGTCGAATTCTGGTAATCATCTAGTTAGAAGAACATACAGCAGAAACAAATTTGCAGTTTAGCTTGGCATGTAACCACTGTAGATTGAAAGTCTACTTACTGTTTAACTTTTTACTATGTTAACCTCATGTCTAGTGAAACCTATCAAAACAAGTGATTGTCATTGACCGCTAGGAATAATGGGGTTATATTTTCAAAAATTTCTCTTTGATGCTGTATTTTAGAGGGTAATCCTAATCCTAACTGACTCTTGTCTCTGTATCACTGTTGAGCATGGTCAGAAACATTTGTGATTAATCATCGGTATTGATCTTGTTTGCACAATGACCAGGATCAGTGTTGCTACTTTATAAATTCCTTTCAGTCTTGCAGTGTTACACTTTTTGGAAAAGGGCAGGAATGAGAAGCAGGCTTTCAAGAAACACTAATAGTTTGTTCATTCATTATATAAAAGCTTCAGTGGAAAATTCTGGTACGATTCCTTTGAAACATCCATGTAGTCATGACTTTCAGTTCACAGGGTTGTGTTTATATGTTTTCTTAATTGAGACAACATGAATATGGGCAAACATGATGTTTATGTTACTGGAAGAAGGGAGAATGAAAGAAGCATGAGGAAGGAAAGACATTAAAATTGTGATCAATGTTATCTATTTAAATTTGCTGCCTTCTCTCTTCTTTGTGAATGGATTCAAGTTGAAATTCATTGAGAATTTCAAGCATAAATAAGATACCTGGCTAAATTATTTAGGACAGTTCACCCAGTGTGCTGGTGTAGCACTGCTATGAGAAATAAAATCCCACATTTAACAGTTTTCAGGGAAAGCAGCATTTAGTTCAAGTGGAGCTGCTGTTAAAAGCAAACTCTCTTGATAAACCTTTTCAACTTGCATTATTCAGAAGCATTACAATCCTCAGAATCCATTTTAGTCTTTGTTAGAATATATTTACATTTGGTAGCAGCCAACTTTGCCACACTTCCTCAAGCATGTGTCTGGCAAGCCTCTTTCTTAACCAGCTTCCTTATGCACCCATCTCAGCTCATTAAGGCCAGCTTGCTTGTGGACTACTTCTAGTTGTCTTACACTGCTTGCCTGTTTTCCCATGGGTACTCTTAGTGATGAGAGTTTTCTTGACTTTCACATGTGGGATTTATCTCTCGTTTAGAGGATGTTGGCACAGATGATAAATGCTGATGGGTTTCAAGCAGCAGAGATTTAGTTAGCTTGGGAAAAGGGTGGATGGTGGCGTTTTAGTTTTTTGAAAGAAAAAAATCTTTGGAGAAGACAGGAAATGGAAGGAGCAAAAAAAGGCTGACTTTTAGTAGTCTTACTTTATCTTGTCCATACATTTGAATTCAGCTGAGGTATATTTACTTACTGTCCAGGACTTCAGTCTGATTTAGATCAGTACCAAATTTTTGTATATGGCAGCTTTGTGTGTCATTCAGTAAATTATGACTAAGTCAACTTTTTAATGAGAAATCTTTTCTTCTGCATAGATTTGGTTCAGGGGTTTGGTACTGCATTTACTGCATTAGTGCTACGCTCGCTTTTTAAAACCTTCACTATACTTAATTTTTAAAAACTTTGAACTTCTCAAATCACATTCTAGTTTGTTTCAGAAAATAAAAAATGTGTTGGTAGGAAGAAAAAGTTAAACAAAAAATATTCTAATCAATATTTTTTCTAAAATGCTGTTGGCTCTTTTACTTGAGCTCATGAATGAGCTTTTTTACATGGTGTTACTCAGTTTAATTGCTAACAGAATTGTGCAGTCTTTGAGAATGTATAGAAAGTCCTAAAACTTTAATTGTCTTGAAAACTTATTTTAATTAAGGATAAATACATGGTTTGCCCACCAAAAATGTAAAATAATGCAAAAAAGATAAGTGTCTGTATTACTAAGGAGTTGACTGCAGATCAGTTAAAAAAGCATTAGTAAATGACGATTGTGTATCTTTTGCTTGTGTAATTAAACTTACTTCACAGTAATTGTTGGGGGATTCTTCTAAAATACCTGGTTTTTTTCACCTAGGCATTGAAGGTCCTGAGAACTGCAGAGTTTGCTCCTTTTGTTGTTTTTATTGCTGCACCTACGATTACCCCAGGCATTAATGAGGTATGGCATGTTGCAATCTAACATCATATCGAGACAGAATTAAAGATGAGATTAAAATATGCAGATAAGATTCTTTAGTTGTTTTCTTGTCTCTAAACGGAGAGACAGAGGGACAGTTGTACAGCACCGTTACGAAGTTGTTTGAGATGTATTCATTGTTTATTAACTGGGTTTTTTCTAATCAAAATATGAACTTCAAGTTAAAGGATCCACATACTGTATTCTAAAAATGCATATTCTTTTATTTCATTCCCTGCCCTAGCTCAAAGATCCATTTCCAAATTCTTGATGAATCATTTTTTATTAGCACAAAATACTCAATCCTGGGTTACACTGCCAGCACTGGGATACAGCTGGCCTGAACTAAAGAAATGGGGCTGTATGACTGTGCTGTCAACCCACCCTTATCTTATAGTATCTTTTTTCTATTCAGCAAATATATATCAGAAATAGGCTTATTTATTTTGAAGACTGTTCTCTACAAATTGGAAGCTTTGACCGAAGGGGTAGTTGCTTGTGGACTATTGTTAAGTATTCATGGAAGTCCACAGCCTGGTTTATAGAGTACCCGCTCTGCAGATTGCTATTGATTTCAGTTATGATATCAAGCAATTCTGGATTTAGCTCACAACAGGGCAAACAGTATTTATACAAACACTTTATCTGCTCAGCCTTTTTTAAATCATTATATTAAGTTGCTTAATCAACTGGATTTGACCATGAATCTGTTCCAGATGTCCTAGATGCCTCCTTGAGCATGCAAAAAGAAAGTCAGAAGCCCTGTCTATTTCTACAGAAATAGCCTGTTTCTATAGAAATGCAATTACAGTATCCTGAGCATGAAACTATGACAACACTGCAGAGGCTTGCAGGAAAATAAGGAACAAGACAAACATATTTCAATGCACACACCCTCCATGATTATTAAAATACCAAGTGGAGAGTGAAAAATACTGACCTCGAGCTGCAATTATGCTGGCAGCTGAGGCATTTTACTAGTCACTGTTGCTGAAGGGACTGATTCTCACTTGCTTCTGGGATATTTACTGCCAGTTTGATCTGACCACGGCACTTCCCAGACCCTTTCGTGAGCTACTTTAGCTCTAAATTGGATTGTTGTCAGTTTTTAAGTATCTCACAAAGGCTGTGACAGGCACCAGTGCCAGAACAAGCACTGAAGGTGTGTAGCCAGAAAGAGAAATGGGAGGGGGAAGAAGGATCTTTTAACATTCACAGCACATTTCTCTGTGTCTAACAGGCCCGTACCCTAACTGGTAAATGTCACGAGTGTATCCACGACTATCTCTCAGAGCATCACAATTTGCAATGTTAGTGAAGCGACTGTTTAACTGCTGGTGTTTGTGTATGCTGTAAATCAGTACAGTCTTGAGAAAATACTGGAATTTTGTATTCTACACTGAAATTGCCATTTTGCAAGCAAATGACATGGCGTTACTGAAAAAACAGAATTGTTCTTAGAATATGTCAAGCAAAGCATTGTGCTTACAGCAGTGCTCAGGCAGCCAGGTACCCTGTGGAATTATGTAATTGCCTGGGTTTGTTGCCTCCATACCTGTGTCTCAGCTCCCAGATAGTCTTCTTTGGCCTCATTCATGTGTCAGCAGTACTTCACTTTTGATCTTCCAGCTGCAGGATATAATACAGAGACATTTGGGACAGTTCATATGAGGGAGAAATGTTTTCTGTGGTACACTAGGAAGAGGACAGAAATGTACCTTTCATAGTAGTGGTGGGGAAATAATCATTCATGCCAAAGAAATAGTATTAGAAGTAAAACAGTATGTTCTAAATATTTGCATTCATGCTGTAAGACTATGACTTTGTTTTAAGCTCTTGTGACTAAAGTCTCTGTGCACACAGGGTTTCACTCAGGTGCATGAATTGCTGAACTGAGGCCACATTTATAAAGCATGCTAATTTATGAATCAATTAAACTTAAGGAAAGGGAGGGACAGGAAATGGTAACAGCAACAGACATTACCCAAACAGAGGATCCCATTTTTCAAGGTTTACTGGGCCACATGAAGGGAGATAGGCAAGTTCTGTCTATGTGTTAGCAGCCTGCAAGGCAGCAAACAAGGGTGACGAGTGTGTGTTTCATATTTCCCATTCATGCTTCCTTTTTGAAAGGTTCATTTGCATAATGAGTATCCCTTTCTGTTTATCCTCTTATCCTGCTTTGTTTATTACACTTTTTGAGAACACTTCTGTAAATGACTGTCCTTTTTCCCCCCCCTTATGTTTTCTTAAATTTCATCTTTGCTTTTATTTTCATTTTCCTGCATTCGTACTAATTGTACATAGCTGCCAAAATGGTGCAGAAAATTGCCTGTAAGTACCAGCTAGGGGCTGACAAGGTAGTCCTGGTAATTGCAGTAGTTTTAGAATGTAGATACGCTTGTTCCCATTCAACATTATCTTTGCCGTTGGAATAAAAATTTAATGTAATAATGACTTCTGATATCTGCGCTAAAATTATCTGCTAGTCAAAAGAAACTAGAGAGTAAAATTTCTACTCTTACAGCTGTACATCTGAACTTCATTATAAAATCATTGCAGAGGTCTGATCTTAAAATTATCTCTCTTGAGACAGTTTAGCTTATCCTGAACCACACAAAAAATCTCAGTAGCCAAGGACCACACAAGCAAGGGTTAGGAGACAAAACATTATGCTTTCCAACTGAATGTAGCAGTACACTGTGAGCAGTTCTGCAAAGCAGAAGCCCAATTGAAATCATAAAGAAAATCTTCCAGAGTATACCCACCTGTCTAATTACAAAGGCTACTTTGCAACTATTGTTGTGCTAAAACAGAGAGAGGAGAGAGCATACCAGGAAACGCTGGAGTGGTTCCTCTTTCCTCCAGCTGTTTTCTACCTCCCATTGCCCAGACAGCAGCAAAGAGAAGCTGACAGGCTCTGCTTTTTGGATCTAAATCTGTATTGAGCAAAATTCTTCAGAATTTGAGCTATACTCTCCCCCTTCCTACAGCCAAAGAATAAAAGATGTTTGCAATCCACGAGCTGTTTGAATTCAGGAGAATTCCTTCCTGTGGGAGCAAATTTGGCAGAGGCCTGATGGCATGTTGCATTGTTCGCAGGCTCAGAAGGGAGTATTAGTAATTTGTTAGGCTGTGCTTTGGCTGTCACAAGCAGCAGCTATTCTCCTAGGTACTTTAAGGAAAAAAAAAAAAAAAAAAACAGCCCTCAGAGACCAAAGATATTCCTGGTGGGCTTTATGCATGTGAGAGAGATTTCATGAATAAAAGTCATGTTTCCTCCTTTCTGTCCTAGCTATGGTGAAGGAGAGAACGTTAGGAAAGTGAAATGAATTCTAGTGATAGGAAACAAAAATCTGTTCCAATTGTGGACTCACTAGCCCCAGAGAAAATGCCTATTGCATGAATGCCTAAGGAAGAAGAAAAGACAGATGTTCTGCTCCCAAATGTGAAATTACTGAAGTTGTGGTTGTTCATTTCCATGTCTGCAGATAGCTGAATAATCCTGATAAATATCTTCTTTCTTGACGCTATTGAGAGCACAGCTGCTGGAGAATATTCTTCTTGGAGAATGATCTGGGATGGTTACAATTCACTATTTAATTAAGATATTTTTGAGAAACTTAGAGTCACCTAGCAGAGTAAAAATTTTAAGGAAGTGTTAGCTTTGAAGATTAATTTTAGCAGTTAAGACGTACAGACACAGAGAAAATACTTAGCCAAGTCTGAGTTGGTTCTGCAAGTACAGACAGGTACTCTGTCACAAACACAGGTGAAGTTTGGTCCCAGAATAAAACAAAAACCAAGAACTGTAATTTCTTTTCTTTTTGCAGAACTTGAGAAAGTATGAACCTATTTGAAAACTGCTACAGTGGCCTATCCAAAAATATATTAAATAAGTAATTTTTTTAATAGGCTAGGAAATTTACATACTCCAAAATACAAGTTTGATCCCAGTAAACTTGGATCTAGGAGAAGCTAAGTGAGAAAAATATTAACATTTCATTAATATTTGAACTCTTAGTTTTGTGACATCTATGTGTGAAAGGTAAATACTAATATTCATTCTTCTCTACCTAACAGTTGGTGTTTTAAAGATGAGATAGCTCTAAGTTTTTCATATTTTTTCTTGTCAGTCACACTAACGTAAATGCTTTAGAGAAAAAAGCTCATTCCCATACTTGTATGTAAAGATGACAGTGATGGGAAATCTGAATAGCAGTTAAAAAGCTACATAAGACTTAAGAGTTCTAACGCTTTGGTGGGGGTTTCTCAGGGACTGTTGTGCTGTGAGAATGAACTCTTTTAAAGGTGCAATACGATTTTGCTAAGACTGGCTTTAAATATATTATTAATCTTAGCTAGATATCTTCAAAGCACCGAAAATATTCTGCTTGAATTTTTTGTTTCATTTGGAGGTTAATTTAAGCAGAAAAGTTTAGATACTCCACTGATATAAACTGATACCTCTTTTGGAATCTATGAGAAGTTGGCAGTTTACCTAACTAGGTTTTTGGCTTAAAGACACTGAAACATATGGCACATATGAAATGTTCCACATTAAAATATTTAATATTATTATTGATCTGTATTGTTCAATTTGTTATTAGCGTACATCAAGTTTACATCCACTGGCATTTTCCGTGGAGGTTCCAGCATCACTGGTGATGCATAATGGTCCATAAAAGGAGCACCTCTTGTACAGAAACACATGTGAGGAGTATTTGACTTTGAATGAAATGAGTAGTGATTATCAAGTGAACATGAAATCCCACCCTCATCTGAGGCTGCAGCTTTAGGAGAGAAGCAGAACTGTAACTTTGGTACAGAACTTCTTCAGAAGTTACTGGTTTCATAGCAACAGGGAAGGAGAACTGTCTCAGCAGAGGTTGTTCCCTTCAGAGGACTTGAAAGCCACTGTTCCACTCTAATTTACTAATACTCAGGAAATTTAAACAGAAAAAAAAAAAGGTAGCGGGAGGGTCTCTTTTATTAGCCACATAAATTCTGTGCCCAAAATAATTTTTTGTGAAAAACAGCTATAGGGACTGTGTGTGTACTGCCTTCATCCTAAAACTGTGTTGTCATAAAGTGTATCTCAGTGGGTTGATCAGGTAAGGTGAGCCTATAGATCACAGAGCAGCGGGAGTCTAAACCGTTCATAGGTAGTTTTGCCTCATGTCCACCCCAAACCTGTGGAGGGGAAGGACTGGATTACTTTCCTGTGGCTATTTCAAGATTCCTGAAAGCAGCAAATTATTTCTTTTTTAATTTCTAAGGTAATTTGCAGGGAGAGAATTCAAAGTTCAAATTTCTGCAGAGGCCTAGAAAGAATCGTTTTGCTGTCACGCTGTCTCAGAAAAGCAGACCTCACTAAGGAAGCCCATCACTATAGAGCTCTGGCTGCACAGTCCAGCCACACAGCAGGATGCAATTTCTGCAGGGACGTTGACACAAAGCTATGGAGAGCACCAGTCTGCTGTCTCTGGCCCTTCTTGAGCACGGGCTGTGTGGTTCGTCTTCAGGACCTCATGCAAAGAGGTGCTGGAAATGGCATGTTCTGAAATAGGAACTGCAGAGTAATGCAGGGTGAGAACTTCCTCATCAGTAAATTATTATTAAAGGAAGTAGACCCAGAATACTGATGTTGAACAGAAAATATTACCAGAACTGGGAACAGCTGATACCTGACAATATACTCTCTCCTGTTTCTCCTGTTCTTCCGTGGACATAGGCCGAACAGCTTGTATTTGTGCCCTTTGTACATTTTATTCACAGGCGGTCTCCATTGCTCATGTCTGTGCTGCTTTTCCAAGCTTCCATCCTCTGCCTTGCTTTTTTAATGCTAGACTTGTGTTTTGTCTCAAGTTTTGTCTCAATAACTGAGTGATGTTTGAATGTCAGCTTCAAGAGAGAAATTGCGCCATTTCTCCCGTGTGATTCCCATAGATTTTGGTGGGGGATCTAAACCCCTCAGGGCTCCCCCTAAGGCTTTTTTGCCCATTTCCTTCTCTGTAAGTAACAGTTAGAAAGTTGGTATAGAAGATTATGAAAGGATCCGACTTCTCTCTCACCATTTTCTTTTCTGACCACCGAACAGGATGAATCTCTTCAGCGCCTGCAGAAGGAGTCTGAAATCTTACAGAGAACATATGCACACTACTTTGACCTAACAATTATCAACAACGAAATTGATGAAACTATCAGGCACCTGGAGGAAGCCATCGAGCTTGTGTGTACAGCCTCACAGTGGGTCCCGGTCTCCTGGGTCTACTAGACCAGTCACAAGAGAATTGAATCAAAAGTCTGTCATTACTGGGAACCACCTGATACGTGGAAGTCCTCCTCGTTATTGACCTTGTGTCAGCAGGTCTTGGCCCCTAGAGACTACCTAGATGTAGTGTGACCTAAAATATAATTATTGTCATGTCCGAATAGATAGGAAGAGGGGGAAAAAAAATTAAACATTAATTTAAAGAGACAGTATCTTTTTTTAATCATTTCTCCTAAACTTTAATAGAATGTATCTTTAAATATATGTATTATTCAGTCCTTTGGGATGTTATATTTTTGGAAATCATAGCTTTTTATTTCAAGGGCCCCTGAAAACTGCACAAAATAGATGCTGCTTTCTATAATCTATTTTAATAGTAATAATAATATGATTCTGTTACCTTAACTTGGGGGTGGAACACTACATTCTTTTTAGAGTCTGATTTTATGGATTGGAATACTTTGCTTTTCTTTATTTATTTGAAGTAATTAGTCTAGTGGTTACAAAACAAATTCATAAATTTTAAAGGACTTTTTTCGCTCTTTTTTTTTTCTAGGATAGTATTTTTAAGTACTTTTGTGTAACATCCAGATAATGTGATACTGTCTCTTTGAAGAACTATGTAAAACTTTTAGAAATTTGAAATTGGGTCTTGACTCTTAATGCATGTGGACAGTCGCAAGCGTTCATGCCGTTGGTGTATCTGTGTTGATAAAACCTGTAATCTACAGCAAAGTACATTCCGTTCATGGGAACACGTACCCAAGGGAATAAAGTAAAATATTACTCTAAGTTGTAAACCTATGCACATCCCTTGCATTTTGGGCAACTTTATAAAAAAAGAAAAAAAAAAAACAAACTGATTTTTATTAATAATAATCATGTAGTGAAATGTGTTTGTAATTTTGTCTCAATTTAATTTGTTGTAAGGTGGGAGGGGGCAAATACTGGTTTCACCATTTCAGATCTGTGTTGTCTGAGAGTATTAACGTTTTAATTAAGTTTAAGCAAAGAAATGCTGATTTTTAATATGTATGTAATTGTTTAAAAATGCACACATTTTAAAAGAAAATACTGTGCAATGAAGAAACCAGTTTAGGCATTGCGATAAACTGACTATTCCAAAAGACTCATCTACAACAGCCCTGTAAATTCCTTTAAAAATGGTAATCGACTTTACAGTCTGACCAATTTTTTTTTTATTTTAAATATACTTCCTTTTATGTGTTCAACAATTAAGTGCTTTTGGGTCCTTCATTTCATCACAGGGAGTTTCAGGAACAAATCAGTCACTCATGCAGTGAGAAGAGGTTTCTTAAAGTACGTGAAGGGAAGACTGTTGTAGGGGCACAGCCTGTAGTCTGTTTCAGGGGTTCTGCTCTGTCTGTACGAGCACAAGTTCAACCAATTTACAGTTAGAGCAGAGCCAAGGAAGATGTGACCATGTGCTGACCTGGTGTTTTGTTTCCCTTTTTCATGCTTTCACTGGTCCCAGTGGTTTGCATTTTTTTCCAAGAATAGTTAACAGGAAGAAGCATCGCCACCTCTTTCTAAGTGTTGGAAAATACAATGGTCCTTAAAATTATTCGTCTTCAAAGCTTGGTTGGCTGTGCTGTTTTCTAGTATGAAGTGTAGTGTTTATATTAAAATAATACAGTGTTCTCGAAGTATTTATCCTCAAAGCTGAACTCTCAGCTGTAATTCATCTGTGGGCTGTTCCAGTTGTTTGGGACCACAGCACGTGGAAAGGTTCTCGGGCTTGAATCTTTATCATAGGGGTAACTATCATAAAGTGCGTAGCTTGCTAATTTTATCCTGCCTGCTCTTACTGGAGGTCAGGTGGTCAAACCTCTCTTCTGGTAACATCCTCAGGCGAAACCGAGGAGGGGTAGGCACCCCCGAGGCCGGGTCAGGCAGCGCGGGAGGAGCCCGGCCCCTCACCGTCCCGTGACCATGGCCCAGAGTGAGCGCGGGGACCCAGTCCCTCCGCTGTGCAGCTGGCGGGGTGCTGGGACCTGACCCCTGAGGAGGTACCTGCGCAGGCCTCCTGTAAGCAGGCCAGGGAGCAAGAGGGAGCGTATCAGGGTAGTAGTAGCTGCTCGTCTGTTCTGAATTTAGCCCCTGTAAAAGGGGATAGGTGCAAACTGTGAACTGTTTAGTCAGTAAGAAGTAATTTTTCAAGTAGGCGTGGTGTGTTGTTTTGGTGCTGGAGGAACCTGGGCAGGTGTTCCTTTAGATCTGCTGTTGCAATGGTAGCATTACATACTCGCTGAGCCCATCGAAGCAACAGGTTAATTCACTCTCAAAACTACCTCTTTTCCCAGTAAAGCACAAAGATGGGAAGACCTACTGAAAACCAAGCAGTGGAGTGTTTCTGATGTTAGAAATACAAACTTCTCTGGTAAGCGTTGGTATCTGACTTCATTGGCACATTCTGCATCTCAAACATTTATGACATTAAACAGGTAAAGTAACTTTGCTAATTCAGGTATAGTCCACTATAAAAGTTTTGACTACATGCTTTTGACGCTGTTAATGTGGACTTCTTGGAGTTTCTGTGTATCCAGCCTTTAAGGAAAGAAAACTCATAAGGCCCATGAGGGTGCTTCTGCCTTATGTAGACGATAAGTGGTGATTTAATGTAACTAATATGCTTTTCTTCTCATAAGTGGAGCTACCATTCAGTTAATATAACACAGTAGAAAGACTAACATGGAGAGCTTTCTTTCTTTTATTCTCATTGTATAGCCTTTTATCAAGAGACGAAAACCGTAAAGCACGTCAGCTAGCATACTGCCCTGCCTCCTCTTCACCACAGACTGTTTTCCTTGTAGGAACCTTCAGCAGCAAAAGGCTAACTTGGAACCCCCCTAGGCTTGAAGTGCAGCTGACCACGCAGCCCAGTGGGCTCTGTGAACTGGTTTCAGCGCAGTCCCAGGAAGCACGGGGCAAGGCCAGGACTCCTCAGTCTGCCAGATCCATGGACCCCACCCCTCCTGCCCTGCCCGGAACTTTCTGATCTGTCTGTTATTTGTGTGGTGCGTAGAGGGCAAAAGGCTGCCATAAATTCATCTGGAAGCTTCACTTGCATAGGGAAGACGCATGCAGGTGCAGAGCGAATATTATGGGTTTTTTTCCCCCAGTCTCCAGCTAGAGAAGGGTACTTCTGGTACTGTAAATATCACTGCATAATTTAGAGCACCTCTTGGATTTCTCTAAATTTATGCTGAATACAACCTCAGAAGCAGCCCTAGGATTGGGAAGAAACAAACATTTCTGTTTGCCCCTTTATACTTTTATTTTTGTGCAGGGGCTCATAAATTTGTAAAGAAACTTGGATCTTATCAGTATGCTGCCTCTCAGTCTGACTGATGCCTGTGATTGCAAGGTGTTAAGTTGGTCCAATAAATGTTCATTAACCTCTGCTTCCATTTACTTAATAAAAGTACACTAGGTTATTCAATGTCTCAGAGTGGTAAGATTATTGCATGGAAATGGTAACCTAGTTTGGACAATCCTGGCCACTGTCATGCAGCCACAGCATGCAACTGTTTAAAATCTGAGGGACAGTTTTAATCTTGCCACCAAAACCGAATTCTTCCATATGCTTTAGCATTGGTTTTCTTTTTACTTGCTTTGGGTTAAGAAAGATGCTCTACCACTAAGTGATATCTTCACTACTTCAGAGGCTTCATTAGCAAGGTTACTCAGCTGATTTTGAAAGGACTACGTAGACAATGAGATGTACAGCCTGAGCAGCATTGGCTGGGGTCTATACTTCAAGAGATGGATCCTAGAGCCTTTGGGAAATGTTAATGCACAGACTAACTTACGTATTTGTTCCATTTTTACTCTTCTCTAAGGAAGTTATTTCAGAGTGCTATTATTTAAATAGATACTTGGAAATGCTGACAAAGCCCATATTGTTTTTTGCAAGTCTAGGTTGAAATATGAAGTGCAGATAGTTCCAGTCCCATTCTCTTCCACTGCACTTAGTTCTCAACGTCTTTAATGAAGGCACTTAGAACTCAATTTCAGGCTTTAAAATACTAGGTAGAAAAGTATTTTTTAAAACTACAGGAAAAGTACATTTAACTGACTTGGGGAAGAGTCATCTGTTTTTATAACCTAGATTGACAGTCTATGAGCAAAAGCAGACACCACAAAAAGTCTGCTTTCCTTATGTAAGGGATATTCATTTTCTTAAGCCTGTCTCTCAAACTAGTTCCTTCTGTACTTTTAATGAGCTAAGATGTACCTGTAACTCTTACCAAGGAGTCTGCTGCACATTATGTCAAATAGTGGCATATAAATTAAAATATCCGCACAACAGGGAACCTGTCACAGACCAGCAGGGCCAAAGTAACTTCCCCTGAGTGATTGTGCCTTGTGTGCACACTGAGAAGATGAGTGCAGAAGCTTAAGTTAGAGGAGAGGGGTTATTGCAATGCTACACAAAAAATGCAAAGCCAGTTTCAACATTTAAGTGTTTACCATGAGGGGTTTTTTTCACATGCTGAGACATATAGTTAGTGTACCCACAGTAATTTTACTTTCTTCTCCGTATGTGATTTTTAGCAGTCCTCTGCTCTAATCCTGTCAAAGCTGGGCTGAAGCAACACAGCAGCTTCTTGACTTGCTGTGATTTAGCCTCAGAGTTAAAGGCTTTTAAAGCCTCTTTCCCAGACCTGTACATGACATAAATAATAATTCTTACCTCAGAAATACATTTGCCATAGCTGTAGTGTCAGTTAAGATTTTAGACAGAAAGTTGATCACTTTTCATGTAGTCTTAAACTAAGAAAAAATAAATCATAGTATCATAGAGTGGTTTAGGTTGGAATGGACCTTAAAAATCATCTAGTTCAAACCTCCCTACTGTGGACAGGGACGCCTCCTACCAGACCAGGTTGCTCAAAGCCCCATCCAAAATGGCCTTGACCACTTCCGGAGAGGGGACATACACAGCTTCTCTGGGCAACCTGTTCCGGGGTCTCACCACCCTTAACCTAAAGAACTTCTTCCTAATCTAAATCTAGCCTCCTTCCGTTTAAAGCTGTTGTCCCTTGTCCTATCACTATATTCCATGAAAAAGAGTACCTCCCCATCTTTCATGTAGGCTGCCTTTAAGTACTGGAAGCCTGCTATAAGGTCTCCCCAGAGACTTCTCCAAGCTGAACAACCCCAGCTCTCTGAGCCTTTCTTCATAGAAGAGATGCTCCAGCCCCAAATCATCTTCATGGCCCTCCTCTGTACCAACTCAAGCAGGTCCATGTCCTTATGCTGGGGACGCCAGAGCTGAGTGCAGTTCTCAGAAGGGTGGAGTAGAGGGGGAAAATCGCCTCCCTTGACCTGCTGGCCACACTTTTGATACAGCCCAGGATATACTTGGCTTTCTGGGCTACCAGCACACACTGCTGGCTCATGTTGAGGTTCTCATCCACCAACACCCCCAAGTCAATTTCTGCAGGTCTGCTCTCACGCCACTCATTGCCCAGCCTGTATTCATGCTTGGGATTGCCCTGACCCCTGTGCAGGACCTTACACTGGGCCTTGTTGAACTTTGTGAGGTTGGCATGGACCCACCTCTGAAGCCTACCAAGGTCCCTCTGGATGGCACCCCTTCCCTCCAGTGTGTTGACCTCACCACACAGCTGGTGTCACTGGCAGACAAGGTGAGGGTGCACCCAGTGCCACTGTCCGTGTCACCGGCAGAGATAGGGTGGGTGTACGCATGTCCCTGCACCCCGCTCTATCTCCCTCCTCTTGGCAACTGCCATGGGAAGATCAATAACAAGCACATTAAACCTGGCCACATCTCTACCATACGTTCTTATGATTCATTTGTAACTTGAGCCTGGTTTTGTGTTGTGAAAGATAACTGACCCACTAGCACATTCCACATTGCAGACTTGAAAAAATTCATGTTGAATATTAGCAAAGTAATTGCAAATTTTCCCTTATCAGTAGCCATAGCTAACTTTTCTATCTGCATAAAGGAAATACTCAAGGGGAAGAGAGGAATTTGCTTGGGTTTAAGTGTAACTCATCTTGAAGCTGAAGCACGTTTCTTTTTTTCTTCATTGACAGCCATCCAGATGGAGTCCTTGCTTTCACTGCTTTTCACAAAATGGTCTTGGTGGTGGGGCTAGCCCTGAAAATAGCGAGGATGACATGCAGATTGTGCTGAATGTCACAGCTAACAAACCAGGGAATATATCAAAATCATGACCAG